CACCCAAAACCCCTAATTTCTCCTTAGCGTAGCTTCGTGATTTTTTTTCCTGGCGTGCTTTCGCGCCAATTTTTAGGGAAGGAAAGGAAGTAGAAGAGATGTCGGAGAAGTTCTCGCCGACGCTAAGGATCGGGGATCTCAACGATTTCATAGCTCCGTCTCAAGCTTGTGTGGTCTCTTTGAAAGGGATCAAGGCTAATATTAATGTTACCAAGAAGCCTGCTAGGCCCGAGGTAACTTCTAGTTCTTTCGTTTTCCCAAAACTGACTTTTGGGCGTGCGGCTGAATAACTGTTGCGGTGAAGTGTTGGTATAAAGCTTTCTGATGGGTTTTGGGGTTTAATTTGGTGAAGGTGGCGGTTGGGATCAATCGGGAGACGGAGCCGGTGAAGATTTCTCTGAAGGACTGTTTGGCATGCAGGTGAATTGTCCTTTCTGTTTCCATCTTAGCTTGCCCCACTCGAAAATTCTTGTCTTCGTTTCTGTTTTGGCAATTGCTGGCTACCCAGTTGCCAAAGTCGGTTTCTTTGTACTTAAATTTCGGCTTAGTGTTTGGTTGCCATGATTTGTCTAAGCTTGAATGAGCTTCTGCAACTTATGGTTTGTTACGTTGTTGTTGTGTTGCAGTGGATGCATTACCTCAGCGGAGACAGTAATGCTGGAGAAGCAGAGTTTGGATGAATTCCTATCTAATATCGATAACGGCAAAGCTATCATTGTTTCCCTCTCACCACAGTCCAGAGCTTCTCTTGCTGCTCATTTCAGCCTCTCTCCACCTCAGGTTTTTAGTGGTTCTTATTCATGTTCCAAGGGTAGACAATGCAAGTGTTTCTGTCAGCATGTCTGATGTCGTTATCTTATTTTGCTTTCCGTGTATATCATTAGGTGTTCAGGAAACTCACGACATTTTTTAAGTCCTTGGGAGTAAAGGCAGTATTTGATACAAGTTGCAGCAGAGACTTGGCACTAATTGAGGCTTGCAATGAGTTTGTTGGTCGATATAAAGAAAGCCTCTCGAATGAAGCTGAAAAATCCAAAGTATTATTGCCTATGCTTTCATCTGCATGTCCAGGTTAATCTTCTTAGCCTATCCATTTTGCTTCCCTGTTTGTTTGCTTATGTTCCTATCATTCATGATGCCAAAAGTGAAAAAAGATGTAGGCTTAGATTCTGTTATTGGTATGGGTTATACACAAGGCAGGAGGCCTTGCTTAGAGATACTCAAGAATGGAAACACAATATCTGAAATGTCTCCCTCCTGTTACAGGTTGGATTTGCTATGCCGAGAAGCAACTAGGATCTTATATTCTCCCTTATGTATCTTCTGTCAAGAGTCCCCAACAAACGATGGGGACGATCATTAAGCGTCATGCGTGCTATCGGATGGGTCTTAGGTGATTATTCTATCTCTCTTCCCCCCTCTTTATCTGGTTTTATGTAGTTTAAGGTAAAGGTTGTATTGATCTGATTGGTGTAAACTTGTTTATAGACCGGAGGATGTTTACCATGTCACCATCATGCCCTGTTATGATAAGAAGCTCGAGGCATCAAGGGATGACTTCACTTTCGAAGTTGAATCAGCGGAACAAATCAATGGCACTGGAGCAGTTGTTACAGAGGTAGACTCGGTTTTGACATCTGGAGAAATTCTGGATCTGATAAAGGTGAGAGGTTTTAGAATGCAGTGGTTTTATGATCTTTTGGTTTGTTCTTTTGATGCTGTGAATTCTGTAGTTTTCATCTTCTGTTCATTTAATTGCAGTTGAAAGCAGTGGATTTCAAAGCCCTAGAAGAGTCTCCTCTTGATAGAATGTGAGAGAGACCACAATTATTTCTGAAAACTAAGTACCTTTTTTTTAGCCATGTAATTGCCAAAAGCCGCAAGGGAAGCTTATAATCGTAATCATATTCTGCAGGTTGACAAATGCTGACGAACAAGGGCATCTCTATGGGGTAGCTGGCAGTTCTGGCGGTTATGCAGAGATAATTTTCCGTAATGCTGCAAAAACCTTGTTTGGAAGAGAAATCGAAGGCCCACTGGACTTCAGAACTATAAGAAACACAGATTTTCGCGAAGTGTCTCTGGAAGTAAGTCTTCTCTGTTTTTACTTCTAATAGTCATAGAATCTTATATGTGGCTAGATTCTAGTCCTCATTGCCCTCCAATTTGTTTTGCATGGAGTTGAGTTTATCCGCAGTATAGCAAATTCATTTTGCTTGCTCCCTCTAGAGAGGCTTATAAATTTGGTGTCCATTGAGGTGTAAGGCTGTTGCTTCTTCATTGTTAATGTACTGTTTTGATGTATATCAGGTGGATGGGAAGACTGTCTTGAAGTTTGCCTTATGCTATGGTTTCCAGAACCTGCAAAACATAGTGAGAAAAGTCAAGATGGGAAAATGTGATTACCATTTTGTGGAGGTTATGGCGTGCCCTGCAGGTCTGTCCTCTTACTTGATTCACTCTACGCACTACCTTTTATACCAGAATTTGGAAATTGAAAATTTGAAATCTAGCAAGCATTTGTTGATTGCATAATGCTTTAGCAGGTTGCTTAAATGGTGGCGGTCAAATCAAGCCAAACCAGGGGCAGACTCCAAAAGCTTTGCTTCAATCAATTGAAGCCGTTTACATGGACAATGTGAGTAGTGAAAGATCGCAAGGGTCTGATTTCCTAGTGGGATTGAATAACCTTCCACGTTATCCCATCTGTAGGGTCATTGAACTGTGAACTAATCATATAATTTCGCAATAGGTTGTGAATGCAGATCCATACAACAATCCTCTTGTTCGAGGCTTATATGATGAATGGCTTGGACAACCTGGTTCCGAGAAAGCTAAGCTATACATGCACACAGCATATCATCCCATCGTCAAGAGCATAACTGCACAGTTACACAACTGGTAAAGCACTTGCTCACTTCCGGAAATCAGATCCCTTCAATGGACAACGAAAAGCAGTCATCTGCACCTCCTGCTCGGGAACTCTTCCTTCCTGTGCTATATATTTATAGGCACTGGAATCTTAGGCATGAGAGAGCCATGGCTGGTTTTGCCATGGACAATATATTCTAAGGATGAGAAGCCATTTAAAGGCCAATTTTGATGAGGTAAACTTACACTTGTTCACTGGACCGTCAGTGCACTGCTTGTGTACATTATCTATGGTAGAAGAAGATGATTAAGAGGAAGAACAAAGAATGGGAAGTCTTTAGGAAGAAGGCATTTTATACTTTGTAATCTGCTCCCCTAACTCTTTTTGCCCTCTGTCGGTGTTCCCTTTGAGATTGGTGTACATGCCTTTTTGTTTAGGGAACTCTGTTCCTGTTTTTGGGTGTTGGATGTCATCCAACAGACAGTTTTGTCAAGTCATACTCCAAAGAGAGCAATAGTATTGTCCTGATGTGTATCTAAATTATAACCAAGTATATGAAGGAATACCACAAGTTTGAGTCCTTACAAGTTTATCTCTTCTGTAATTGTAGCTTACCCATGGTAAAATGGAAGAAAAGGTAACATTTTTATTATCTTCTCTTAAGGTAAAAAAAATAAATTACCGCGTAATAAATTGGAACTCATCTACCAAGAATGGATTATGAAAAGTGGAAATTCCTTCAAAAACAGGAAATGTAAATTAATAAATTGATTTCTTACTACGTTTGTTGCTGTGATGGATTGCATGCACGTCCCTTTGTCAGAAAGAATGAAAAAATATTGACATTTTCTGGGTTTCTTAGGAAACTGAAACTGACAAAGTTTTGAATATCCATTTATTGCAACAAAATCCCTCGACAAAAGCGGATAGAAAGTCGCAAACGTTTCATTCAGAAAAAAAAATAGCACCAGTACTTCTGCCTCTCATCAGCTCCTTCCCAGTCCCAGAGAAGCACCAGAATCTGAGACGAAATGGTAAGAAGGAGAGGACTTCGTTGTTTGTTTTGATATTCTGGATTCTGGGCTTTGCATGGCTTCATTTTTAACGATTTGGGTGTGGGATCTGTGCGTTGAATAATTAGACGACGTCAAGGAGGGTTTCAGAGAGGAAGAACGAAAGGTTCCAGAGGAACATAACGAAGAGGGGATCAGTCTCTGGGTCTTCATGGAAGAAAGGGTTTGACCTCCCTGTTGGCCCGATTGTGCTTGGATTCATCGTCTTTGTTGTTGTTGGATCATGTATGTCTTTCTCTCTCTCCCTCCCCCTCTGCAATGGTTTTCTTCTTAATTGTCAGAAGCTGACGATCCCCCTCTCTCGCTGCATGCTCTGTTTTGTGTTTCTTCTACATTGATTGGGATTGTTTGGGTTTTGCATGGCCAAGGTTCCTCAAGGTACTGAACTGAACAGAATTGGAGTAGGACTGGCCATAAAAGTGAATGGGAAAGAAAGGATAAAAATCAGAACAAAAATTCTATACATAGGTCTTAAATTTCAGCATATAAACAGAAATTTGTTTTTGTAAATTGATATGGTATGATCCGGTTCATATGTTTATTCGATTTGGTTCATTTTAGTCTAATCCGAAATGTTGAGCTAGACTCCAGCTAGGGTCTTCGGTGGGCAACTCCTGCTAGGTGAACTAAATTACTTGTAGCCCCATATAACCATCAAGAGTCTTCAATGGTTTATGCTCTTTCACTCACTGAGTGGATTTCAGCTTCCTAATTTATGGTTCATCAGACAGACATTCTGGCCCTGACTTGGCTTCATATCTTTGTTCATTTTCACAGCTCTGTTTCAGATCATCAGGACAGCGACTTCAGGTGGAACGGCTTAAACGAGCTCTTCGAGGATAAGTAGATCAAAGCGTGGGTTATCAGGGGGGGCAGATCCTTTAGCCTGTTTAATGATACAGTGAAATGAAACAATCCAAACAAACTCAAAACCTCATTTGTGCTTAAGTTCAACCAGTTCCTTAACTCTGTTGCTGTTTCTTTCCCAGTGTTCTATGCTCTTTCTATGAATCCATTTCTCAATTCAGGGCCGTGTGCTGGCGTCAGGACATGTTCCTGTACTGAAAAGCATAAATCTTTGCATGCACTTTGCTATTTTCGCCCTCAAAACAGCATAAGAAAGAGACAGTAGTTGAAATTGCTTCATTTATGTGGACAAAGATGAAATCTTTTCAGAATCCATGTACAACAACAGCAACAGCTAGTAGATAATGTATATGGACTCCCAGTTCTAAGCAACCAAGGGTATTGAGAAAAAAAGAACAAAAAGCAAGATCGGTAACAGGCAAACAAAGATGATCAGAAAGCTCTTTGGTACAGTTGTTGCTTCCCATATTTGAATTTGCTTTCGTCTGATCTTCTAGCAGCTCTGGCAGCTGCTGCTGCTGCTACATTGGGGCTCTTGTACCGGTCAGAGCTTCTAGACAGCTTCCTGAGATTGGAACTGAAAGTAGGCTCATCTGAGACCTGCATTGTGGTCTCCGGCAACTGTTCTTCGTACGAAGAAGAACAATCATACCCCATCTCATCGAATTCCTGCATGAATGTAAGTACATTGATGGATCTCATTAAACATTGGGACAAAGAGATTCCATACATTTCAAAGATCGTATGCTACCTACCTTGGAATTTGCCTTGGCAACATAAGGTGTCAAACAAGGATTTAGATCCTGAACAAACATATCATCATCGGGGCTGCCTGGAATCGTAGCACCGCAAGAACTGAAGTCCTGCAAGAGAATTGGAATGTGCTTTAAGGTTACAAAAAAGAACTTTCATTTGATCGTTAGTCTTTGATTTTAGCTAAAGTAACTTAAGAGTTGCCAATGTTCTTCCTCACTAGAGAATTTGCAGATCCTTCACAATCGAATGTTGGCGTCTTCGGAGAGTTGCTCCAACGAGCTCTCCCATATTTCTCAGCCTTCACCTGGTTGAATTGGGCAAAGTATTAGCTATTCCTATTCATCGCGACCAAGCTTCAACATCAGTGATGAACGATATGGATAGTGTTACCTCGGCTAGACCCTCGGCAAGGCACTGTAACTGGCCTGTGAGGGAAGTGACCTGCCTCTGGAGATTTGGGATGAGGGTTTTGGCTTGCTTCAACTCTGATCCTTGCTGTTCAAGGAGATCTTGAAGCTCATTGTTCGAAAGATCGGGAAATAGTACCGCGTTCTTCAATGACTTGATCTCCTCCCTCTGCTTCAAGCACAAGTCCTTCAACTTCTCCACCTGCAACAAAACTCGATTGAAAGATCGGAATCAGAAAAGAAAAGTAGAGTCTTTGCCAAGTTGAGAACTTCTTAAGGCTTGAACTTTAACCTCGCTTGCTTACCTCTCTGTTTCTGGTCTCAAGCATCGACTTGAGATGACCAATCTCTTCCTCCATCTCCTTATTAGCACTCAAGAGCTCCCTCTCACTCCTCAAAACCATCGCTAAAGTCCTCGTATTGCCAACATTGCCGTTTCCTTTCACCTCAGTCAAAGCCTTCACTTCCTTCTTAATACCAACCTTCTCCTTCCCAAACAGCTTCTTCTGCAAACCCACTAGCCCGGCCCCTCTCTTTGCCGCCGGCGTCGTCCTCTTCAAGTCCTCCGTTATCAAATCCGCCGGAATCACCAACCCACCAATTGCATTCTTCTTCTTCGACGACGATGACCCTAAAGTGGTCTTCTTCTCCATGAACTTCTTGACCATTGCTGTAAGATTATGGGTGCCATTGGGCTTGGATTTGTTGGGATTGGATTTCAACTGGGAGAGATCGGACGGCTTGGATTTGACCAGAGCTCTGGATGAGGAGGAAGGAGTAATGGAAGAAGGATTAAATTCAGATGAGGAAGTGAATGAAGAGGCGGAAGAGCGGGTGGAGTCGTAGGAGTTGTAGCGAGACGCCATTAACGAACAGGGGGATGGCAAAAGGTCCGAGCTTTGAGATTAGGGAGTGGAATTAGGGGGGAAGCGAGACAGGGGAAGAGGGGGGAATTGGGAAAGTGACTGAATGGAATGAAAAAAAGGAATGGGCTTTTCTTTGTTTGTTTCCGGTAAAGTTTGAATTTGGTGTAAGCTCCTTTTGCCGCTGCCGATGGAAGTTCGGATTCAAATAATTTTGGGCGATGGTGGCTGAATGAATGATTGTAGAGAGATGGTGGCTGACAGAGTGACAGTGAATGGTAGAGAGAGAAATGGCGGGCTCAACGCAATTTGCGAATTGGGCTTTTACGGCAAGCCCAAATGATTGTAGAAGCAAATTGATAGCCCGTTAAATCTTATTTATGTCGTTTTCTTTGCTTAAGATGGTTTGTGTTCGTTTTGTGGATATGTTTTATTCATTTCAATATTTGTATATGGATTCTCTTGCCCTCTTACTTAAGTAATTGATTGCCAAAAAAACTGAAAATGGGTTAGTTCTTACTATATCGGAGGTTGCACATTTCGTATTTCAAACACGAAATCAAGAATTCAACTCCTTTCGTATTTTAACTAAGAATTGGGGATTTGATCGTTGAGAATGAAAATGTAGCTTATTATGTGGGTATTTTGTTAGCATTTTGTACAATCACCCGTAATGTTGCATTATTTACCATCGTCTATGAATACTCTAATAATACACCAACAATCATATTCATGTTCACACATTTTATATCATTTCTTACAGCTTACAACCATAATGCTAAAAACACACAATGAATCAATATTTGAGGCCGCAGCATTACCCAACATCATGCTCTAACTCATGACGAATTATTCATTTCACCCAATTATAAAGTTTCCATCTTCAATGACCTAATCTACTTACTAGTCTTGGGTGACTAATTATTCAATTCACACTCAACATTGACCATCTCCATTTCAACACTTCCACTATCCAAATCCTTTGCCTCGTAAGGCCTAGCAATCAAATACAATTGATCCTTCCTAGCCACAGCAAGTCCAAAAACCTCTCTCATTTCCAGATCCTCAGCCCTCAATCCATTCGGAAGCTCCCAATCGAACCAATACAACAAATGTGCTAGAAGCAACTCAATGTTAGCGATTGCATACGATATTCCGGGGCATATCCTCCTTCCGGCACCGAATGGGATCAGCTCAAAGTGCATCCCTTTGAAATCGATCTCGCTTCCATCAAACCTCTCGGGAACGAAGTCCTCTGGATCCTCCCAGGTCTCGGGGTCCCTCCCTATGGCCCAAGCATTGACTATGACTCTTGTCTTGGCGGGGATTCTGTACCCGGAAACGACACAATCTTGATTGCTTTCCCTTGGGATTAGGAGAGGAATTGATGGGTGTAGCCGAAATGTTTCCTTGATCACCGATTTTAAGTAGGTCAGACCTTGTAGGTCTTTATCCGTGATTGTATCTTTCCCCTTTAGAGCTTGTCGGATTTGGGATTGTGCCTTGCTCAAAACTCGTGGGTTTTTCATCATTTCTGACATTGCCCATTCCACCGCTACCGATGAAGTGTCGGTTCCGGCCACGAACAAGTCCTGTAAAATCGAGTGAACAACATATGAAGCTGCATCATCTAACCCCTTTTTTTCCCTCCCATTAAAATTTTGCTTTGCTTACCACAAGGACGGCCTTGATGCTTGTATTTGTAATTGGACACTGCAACCCTCCACCCTCCTCAAGCCTAATCAGCACATCCACGAAATCCTCACCATCCTCGGATTCCACATCGTCAATCCCGCCGCCGCCGTCGCAATCTCGCCGTCTCTCTGCAAACCTCTGTTTATGCTCTGCTATAACTCTGTCCAAGATCACATCTTTATGGTCTCTCATTCTCAAGATCTTCGATTTCAACCCGCTAAGCCCGTGCAAAAACTCCAGAGAAGGGTAGAAATCGAGCAAGTGGAATCCTCCGGCCACCTGAGCAGCCTCCCGCATCGACTGTATGATGTCGTCCTCTTTCCAATGCGTGCCAAACGCGGTCTTGCAGATTATGACATTGAACAGACTGTAAATCTTTTCACTAATGTTAATTGGGTTCTCACCATTTTGAGACGAGCGGCGGATTGAGTCTACTAGATTAGAGACCTCTGTTTCGCGGATTGATGAGAAAGCTTGTACCTTTCTCGCGCCTGCGATTGGGAACAGAGTAAAATGAAATCAGGAAGAGAAATTGAAAGCTTGTGAAAAGGGATGACTGTTTTTGTTAAGTAATTTAACTACCCAGAAGCTCCGTTAACGAAATTCGCTTCATCTGCCGCCAGTAATCGCCGAGCGGGCAGAAGGCGATGTCCTGGCTGCCCCAAGTGCCGATATCCACCGCCAGAATCCTTGGCCGGTCGGCGAAAACATGGTCGTGGGTCTTCATAACCTCCCTGGCGATCTCCGGCGAGGAAACGACGACGGAGGGAACTTCCCCGAGCTGGAGGTGGAACAGAGGGCCGTACTCGTCGGCGAGTTCCCGGAGGGCGTGGTGTGGAAGAGGTGACCGGCCGATGAACAGGTTGTGCAGGTTTCCGATCAGGGGAAGCTTCGCCGGTCCCGGTGGGAGAAGGTGGCCGTGGCCTGGTTTTTTGCATGTGATTGTTATGGAGCTTCTTTTGATCGTTTTGGTATGGAGTGGAGGAATTGGGATCGGCAGAGGGAATGTGAATGTAGCAGCATTCGAAGCCATTGAATGATGGGAGTTTGGTAGGAATGAAGACTTGGAGATGGAGAGCTCGAATTTATGTGCAATGGGTTGCATTCAACAGAAGATCATTAGATTGCAAATATTAACGAAATGATTACTATACTAAGAGATTTATAACAAAATAGTCACTACACTTTATTTCGTATGATCGAATACATCGATATTTAATTTGGTAGATGAGTTTGAAACTTGCAATCATATTTACAAATCCCAAATTAATATAAGTTGAATATATGTAGTTGGCGTCAAGAATCAGTTGATTCACATACTTCGAGTTTTTTTTGGAGATATTCAATAATCGATCTTGTACCCTAAACTAATATGCTCTCTCAAACAAAAATCACTCATATTATAGGTTTGAAGTTTGCACGTGCACCAGAAACTTTGTGCTAACCTATGAGTGTCATCGGAATTCGACATAAGACCTCTCGGCCATAGAAAACTTTGATACTATGTAAAGAACCAGTTGATACCAATAACTCGAGTTTTATGAAGAGGTTCAACAGTGCATCTTATACCACACACTAACGTATTTGCAAAATGTGTTGAAGGGGTGACTTTGATGAAGTATGGAGTCTATTTGATATGTTGACTAATGAGACAAACTAATAACATTTTGAGACGTGGTTTTGGGTGAATATTTGTTACAACTAATTTAGTTTAGTGAGCATTTTGTTAAGACTTTTAGTTGGATGACCACTTTTGTTGCATATCTCTTAGTTTAGTGAGCATTCTAACATTTAACCGGTAGATTAAATGGTTGGCAAAAGTTATGGTAAAGCTCACAATATGTCATTTTATTAGTTGTCTTTCTATGACAAGGTAATCAAATCGTATTGAGAATATCCCATTCATCCGAAACAAAGACAATTTATCTCCTCAAATTGTGATCATTCTAATAGAACTCTCATCAAAATTTATATGCACATGAAATATGTTTCGTTAATTATATGAAAAATTACATATGTAATTTTATCACGATCAAGATAAGCCAAATCACAAGGTTGATAAGAATAGCACGTTGCAATAGGACTATATCATTGAATGGTCATGTAAGTCTCTTGGTGTTGCTTGCGAACAACAGTTTGCCCTAATGGTAATAGCACTACTCTTAAACCTGAAGGTTTCAAGTTCGAATCCCCATTAATAGCACCTAACTATAAAAATAAACTTTCTTCGCACTTCACATCTATCTAAAAAAAGTCTCTTGTTGTTGCTTAATTCATAAAAAGATAAGTTGGTCCAGTATATATTCCTTACCTCGTTGCATGCTATTTCAATTACGTGTTATAATGTGAAATTTGTACATTTACAAAACCAGTGTCACATTTTATAGAGTGAGTAATTTTCAAATACTCTCCACCCTCTAGTATTTAAGATCCCATCATTTTGATGCAATTCTAATTACACTCAAATTCGATACATCCTGTGGATTACACCAAACCAAACACTTCAAAGAGAATATTCCTCTTTCCCCATTGTAAGTTGTAACCAGCTAGTTGGCAAGTCTTTTTTTTTTTTATGCATACCAAAAGCCCATGGTTATAGCTGTGATCTCCTCAAAATTAACTGTGCCTCTTAAGGTTATATGCAAATAGAAAAGGCCCATGCCAACAATTAAGTAGAAAGCAAGTATAGTTAAGTTTTGCTACTTTATGCTATAGGGTAACTAAGTGGATTCTATATACAAAGTGGATTGCACGCAAAAAAATTGTCTAATATGGTAAACATGAGATTGTTTCACGTAATATGATAGTTCCTTAAAAGTTTGAGCATAGGACTAAACCGTGGCATGGGATTAGAAAGAATATGATACAATCTAAACCTTCATGAGTAGGTAATACTATAAGTTTCGAGTTTTATTTTGTTGGGGGTAAATATGGTTTCGGAATTAGATACAACTTGTTCTTTTTACTTACGGACAGTCCAAAAAACTCGTCCATGTTTAGATTATCAGTTGTTTCTCCTTCAGGTAGTTCCCAATCGAAATGATACAATAGTTCCACGAGAGGGAGCTCAATGTTGGAGAGAGCAAAACCAATCCCAGGACATATCCTTCTTCCGGCTCCAAACGGAATGAACTCGAAATCCGTTCCTTTGAAATCAACTTCACGATCGTCGAACCTCTCCGGAATGAAGCTTTCCGGGTCGTCCCAAATGGCAGGATCTCTGGCTATAGCCCAAGCATTTATGAGCACCCTGGTTTTGGCTGGGATCTCATACCCGTTGATCACACATCTCTCCTTGCTTTCCCTTGGAAGTAGCAGAGGGATCGGGGTGTGTAGTCGCAGGGTTTCCTTTATCACTTGTTTGAGGTAAGATAGACTTTCGATGGTGTCGGTTTTGGTTGCGGTCGGCTCTTGATGTTGAAAAGCTTCTCGTATCTCGGTTTGGACTTTGTCAAGGATTCGTTGATGTTTCACCATTTCTGCCATTGCCCATTCTATTACCACGGATGAAGTGTCAGTTCCGGCCGTAAATACATCCTGTAAAAAAGCATAAAATACATGCATAATTGACTAGGAATAACAAGGTAACTAATTAGCACCTTACTCCTTAGATTACGAGACAATTCCAATCGAACCATTTCTTTGTTGGAGACCTAATAATTATTCTATTTACCTTTCTTCCAACAAAAGGAACAAATTGTTCGATTAAAAAGATACATGTTGTCTTGTTATTTTCAAGACAGAACTGGAATAATTGGAAACTTGTTTACACATAGGAGCCAACTAGATCAAAATGAAAATTATTTTTGCTATTCAATTTAAATAATTTTAATTATATAACTAATTGAAGTTCTTAGTTGGATATATTGTGCCACTTGAATGCAATTGAACAAGCAAATGAATTTTTTTTTTATATTTGTGGTTCCAAATACCGAGTTGATGAAATATTAGATCAATGAAATGAGTTAATTTGTCTTTATTGATTCGATTTAACTAGCAAGACAAAGTGACTAATTTGTTATAGATTCGTTCATCGAAATTAAATGTTGATTAATTGATCACTAATGAACTTCAATTCGATTTAGTACCGTAAGGAGTGCCTTGATGCTTGTGGTCGTCATAGGACATTGAAGGTCACGGCTACCTTGAAGCCTAAGCAAAACATCCACGAGATCTTCCTCAGCATCATCACCACATTCACAATCCTCCGGCAGCCGTTCTCCACCGCCGCCGTCGTCGATCCTCTGCCGATGCTCCATTATCGTCTTGTCCAAAATCACGTCTAGGTAATCCCTGAGCTTCTGAATTTTGGACTTCAACCCGCCGGCGCTCGGCACGGACTCCAGCCACGGGTAAAAATCCACCAAATTGAAACCGCCCGCCACCGCCGCCGTCGCCTTCATAACCTCAATCACCTCCGAATCCCCACCCTCAGATCCAAACGCCGACCTGCAAACGATCGCATTCGTCAAATCGTAGATTTTCGCGCTGAGATTGACCGGGCGCCCGGCGGAGCCCCGAACAGAGTCCACCAATTTCGACACCTCTGCCTCTCGAATTGCGGCTAAAGATCGGATCTTTCTCGGACCCAGAAGCTCCGTCGTCGCGATCCGCTTCATCTGCTTCCAGTAATCGCCGAGAGGGGAGAAGGCGATGTCCTGGCCGCCCCACGTGCCGATCTCCGCCGCCAGAAGCCGGGGCCTCTGCGCGAAGACGAGGTCGTGGGTCTTCAGAATCTCCTGGGCGATCTCCGGCGAGGAGACGACGACGGCGGAGACTTGGCCGAGCTGAAGATGCATTATTGGGCCGTAATCGGATGCGAGGCTTTGAAGGGCGCGGTGTGGGAGTGGCCCGCCGGCGGTGGTGACGGCGGCGAGGGCTAAGTTGTGTAAGTTGCCAATGAAGGGGAGCTTCGCCGGCCCTGGAGGCAGAGGAGGCCTTTTATTAGTAGTGTTGTTTAACGTGGTTTCCGAGTTCGTCTCCCAGCGGGAAATGATGTTGAGAGGAAGTGAAGAGAGTTGGAAAGACGAGGGGTATCTTTTGGCGGGAACCGCCATTTTTGGACTCGAGGAGGTCAAAGTAAGTGATACCATCTCCCCCCTACCCTTGAGAAATGGAACAGGGGAAGAAGCCAATGGAGGTATAAGGTTCCAAAGCAGCAAGTTCCCTCATTGAAATTTAAGGAAATGGCCAACAATTAATATTTCGGTTCTTTTCACAACACATGACGAGTGTAAGCACTAAGCACAATAACTTCTACGGATTGCCTTAGCGAGTACTATGGTGGATGGCAAGTGTTTGGTAGCTGGCTACTCAGAAATCCATTGTTTTCTTCCACACATCACATGCGCCATATTCAAAAGTGTAAGTTCACCTGCAGTGTAATGAATTGAGAGGAGCAACAATGGCGGTTGGCGGGTTCCAAAGAGCCAAGGCAGCGGGCTAAGTGCATGTGTCACTGTTCTTGTCCATGTGCTGGGATCTTTTGGGCCGTTTTGTCGCAGATGTGGCTTCCCAGAAAACGAAGCCAGCCCAAGTAACGAGCCCAGTTTAAATGGGTCGGTCCAAAATAACAAGAAGATCCATATCGGAAAAGGAAAATGCAAAAGAACGGCGAGTCTCTCTGACTTTTATTTTTTTTAATTAAACCCCGATGGCTAGCAAATGAAATTTTCTCGCCAACCAAGTCCAACACACACCCAAGAGGATTTTCCAGATTTCTAAAATTCAAGACATTAGAACCGAAAAAACAGTTTCAGTTTAACGCACGGCACAATCATTGCCTAGAGCAAGGAGCTCCCCGCTTGACTTCACTCAGCATTGAGTTGCTGGCTGGTTCGCGAGAGCTTAATTTGACTCTATTTGGGGGTAATGGGTCGTTCTCGCGGGAATTTCCAATCTGCTGATGAAGACCCCACCCAGAGGTTTGCTTCTTCTCCGTCTCCGCTGAAATTTATCTGGGAAATTTGTTCGCCTTCCTGTTTGCTTCAATTTTTGCACTCAAAGGTTTGAGCTTTGTTTGGGGTTCAACCCTGGTTCGGTGGTGCCAACAATCATCCAGAAAATGTTTGAGCTTTGCTTTGCTTTCTGATTCAGTGTGGAAATGCCATTGTAGTTTCAAAATTTAGTTGGAAGGAGTAGGCAATTTGTGAAATGTGTTGGTGTGCAACTTCTGGAAGTTGAAGCTGATGTAATGAACTTGCTTGACTTTGTTGAAATGTACTTCGCTACCTTGCTTCTCTGTCCAACTTGTTAGAATTGGCTTTCGTTTGCTCAATTGTGAATTTTTTATGTATATTTATGGGTCTCCATTTGATTTTATGTCCTTCCCTTCATTCATTATGGGAAGATATGTGGTATTTTATTGTTTACCTTGACGCGTCGCCTCTTGAGTTTTCTACGGTTTCTGTGCAGATCAAGGAGGAAAAAGAATGCTTCTACTGGTGAGAATCTAGAATCCACCTCTGCAGGTATATAATCATCATTGCATAGCAGTGTGATAACAAGGAGAACAAATACAACCAACGACACGGAATTGGGGGGAGGGGGAGGTGGGGGTGGGAGAAGTTATCATGACTCTTACATAACACATATCCAAGTTAAAACTATGACTTTATATCCAAGTTGATCTAAGGAGCTTAACTAACCAGCATTGCTCGTGCATATTTTCGCAACCTTGGGATTCCCTAGTGAGGGGGTTCAAGAACGTATTTTGCTTGAGTATGATTGCTTAACTTATGCTGGTGTAATACATATCCTTTTTCGGGATCCTGTTGGGAGCTATTGATGGTAATGTGAATCATTATGTTTGTTTGCTCCTTGATATGCATTTCCTTTTACCTTATCTATACCTTTGTCCTTTTTCCGTATCCCATTTGGGGATCAGGACAAGGTGCTGGTGATGGGAAGAAGGCCTTGTACCATTGTAACTACTGCAACAAAGACATAACCGGGAAGATCCGTATCAAGTGTGCTATGTGCCCTGATTTCGATCTATGTATAGAGTGCTTCTCTGTTGGAGCTGAGATGCAACCTCATAAGAGCAGTCACCCTTATAGGGTTATGGTTAGTGATAACAAGTTTCTTAGCAGCAGATGACTATATATCATATTCTTCTCTTAAACTTAATTCGACTGGTTTTCCTTATACGATAATGAGGACAAAGGCATATTTTTGAACAAGTTATTTATAAATGCTGACCATCTGCCATTCTGTATCAAACTACAGGATAATTTGTCTTTCCCACTTATTTGCCCTGACTGGAATGCTGATGATGAAATTCTGCTACTGGAGGTTCAGTGTCAATTGAGTTTGCTCTTGTTTGATACCATTCTTGTATTTTAAATTTACTTTTATATGTTACTAATAACGTATGATCTCTGGTCCATGGGATTTACTCAAATATTAGGGGATTGAAATGTATGGCATGGGCAACTGGACTGAAATTGCTGAGCATGTAGGGACAAAGAGCAAAGACGTGTGCATTGAGCACTATAATAATGTTTATATGAACTCCCCATACTTCCCTCTTCCGGTATTGCCCATTTTTAATATTCTGAATTCTACTTCTTTAGTAGCATGTGTTACTTGATGCTGAACATTCTATTTTTGCAGGACATGTCTCATGTTGTTGGGAAGAATCGAAAGGAGCTTCTTGCTATGGCAAAAGGATCTTCCATGCACGGGGAGCACATTTTGAAGGAAGATTCTCCATTTTCTCCATCCAGAGTCAAGTATGATTTATTTTCTTGTCTCTGTACTTGCATTACCTTTAAATCTATTGCCCTGACTAATGCCACTTTTTCTTGTTCATTCAGAATCGAAGGTGGTTCCTCTGGCCGTTTACTGTCTCCATTAAACACTGGTGATTTAGTATACATGACAAACTAATCCTGTTCTGTCTGAATCGTATTCAAACTCCTTGTGAATGAGATTAACTCTTCTAAACTGGTGCTCTTTCAGATATGGAATCAGGAGGGCGTCCTAATAACGCAAATGCATCAAAGACTGCTGTTAAAAAGGCATCTGGTATTGCCCGGGCTAAAGATAGCCCGAATAATGTTAAAGTCGAAGGTCTGAGTTGCTCTATTTGTGAAAATTGTTATACGGTAAAATGATGAGGATGCAGCTTTAGGATCAAGAAACAGTACTGTTGACTTCTTAACTCTTATGCAGATCCTCATATAGAAAGGAGTTCCAAGGGAAAGAAACCAAATTGTCCAGTTGATGGTCCATCCCTACTTGATTTGAGTGGTTATAACACTAAAAGGCAAGAGTTTGACCCAGCATACGACAATGATGCTGAGCAGTTGCTCGCAGAGATGGAGTTCAAAGAGAATGACACTGAGGAGGAGCGTGAAATCAAGGTTCGGGTCTTGCGTATTTATGGGAAGAGGTAGAACATTATTATGCTCAGATAGAGTTCGAAGAAACTACTTGGTTTCTGCCGCTTATGTATAGTGTGTGCTTCAATTCAACATTTGAGAGCTAGTTTTGATTGGCAGGCTTGATGAGAGGAAGCGTCGGAAGGATTTCATATTGGAGAGAAACTTACTGTATCCTAATCCTTTCGAGAAGGACTTATCTCCTGAGGAGAGGGCAATCTGTCGACGTTATGACATTTTCATGAGATTTCATTCAAAGGAAGAACACGAGGAACTGCTCCGGACAGTCATCACAGAGCACCGAACTCTCAGAAGAATTCAAGAACTCAAGGTACATTGCTCACCCTTGCCTTCAATTGAATCTAAATATCCCATTAAGCACATCGACATGAAATAATGTCGCAGGAAGCACGTGCTGCTGGCTGTCGGACTTCTATCGAGGCGGATCGATACCTTGACCACAAACGGAAAAGGGAAGCGGAAGATAGTTCTCGTCGGGTCAAAGAAGGCGGTCAGCTTGTTCCGAATGTCGTAATCGCTTCAGAATCAGTTGGAAAGGACTCACACTTTAAAGGGTCGTCGAGCTATAATGTCAACGAGCTGGATATCACGGCGTTGTTCGACACCCAGTTGCTATCTGAAGCTGTAAGTTATCTAAGAACATGGATAATAGGGGTGTGCATGGTCTAGGGTGGTCCAGAATCACGTAGACTCAGCATAGGATCAGATAAAAAATGAAGGGAAAATGAGGTTCAGTTCAATTCACACCCCTAGATAACACACATGTTTATGGTTTTAGCTGGTTAGTGAAACTGCCTTGTTTGGATGCATTTTGACAGGAGAAGCGGTTATGCTACGAGATCAGGCTGCCACCACCTCTTTATCTGCAAATGCAAGAGGTGATGACAAAAGAGATCTTCAGTGGGAATGTTTTGAAGAAATCCGATGCTCATTCATTGTTCAAGATCGACGCCAACAAGGTGGATAGAGTGTATGATGTTCTTGTTAAGAAAGGGATAGCACAACCATGAAAATGGGGAATGAAAAAGAAGCAAATCACTTCATTTCATTCTTAAGTTCTGATTTCTTGTATTGTAATTTAGGCATAACATAATAGATATAGGCTAGAAATGAAACTTGGGTAGAGCTCAGTTCCTTTATGTAGCTGCAGATGGTTGAAACTCGGAATTACCTAAAGGGGTTCTGTATAATGCAACCATCCACTCTACCAAAAATGAGAAAGAAAGGCAAAAAGCACTGAACTTCTATTTCTTTCACCATGCAGAAAGTACTGAAATCCTAACACAGCTTTTACAGTCAGAACCTGAGCTTTTGCACAAGTTAAACCTGTATAGAACCAAAATGTTATTTTGGTATATCACAAAACATAAGGCTAGTTTGAGGATAATTGGGAAACAGCTCCAACTGCTAAAGTCTTAAACTTTCAATTACTTAGTGACGGGTTAACGCTAAACGTTATATGTTGATCTCAGAATGCCTTACTACAGTGCAACATGCTCTACTGTTATATACACCAACATGGGCACCCCAAACGTTCACCTATGATCAAAATTTCTACACTGTCAAGGGACTTAAGCAGCTTTGCTAACGAAGTTGTCTTTGTGATCCACTGCATCCTTACTCACACTAATCACCTCCAGATTCTGCATCTCATCCGACAGGGGTGAAGAACTTGGGAATCTTTCTCTCTCTTGTTCACTGGATACTGGAACAACCTTCTGCTCCAAATATCGAGCATCTCCACCAGAGTCAGAAGTCTTGAGTCTACCATTGCAGCCCATATTCAAAGATAGATAATCAACTATATCTGTCTTTGGCTTCACGTCAACCCATCTGTTCTCCACCCAGTCCCTGGAGATTCTGACATGCTTCCGACCAACACTCAGCGACCTGCCTTCACCTAATCATTAACATCCCAGTTTTTTTCAATCAGCTAAATGAAAGTAGAAGGAATCTAGATGTAGAAAGGGTACTGCTTTCTTTCATATATATACCAGGTAAGTAAACTTGCAGACGGTCATTTCCAGCTGCAGAAACAACACCTTCCCACCAGCCGTCACACCACCATGAATCAATTGGCGCTCCAACCTCAAAAGTACAGTTCCTGAGATCACCAGGAGGCGGCGGGCGAACTCTTTGGCGGCCAACATGTCTTATACCCAACTTATCCGGAGCAGCCACTTCAGTAGCAGGGACCCATTCCTGTCGACAAAAACAAGAAAAAGAAAATGACAGATCATTCCTAAGCCCATATCAAACATTCTACAAAGCCGCATCAATGATCCAGATTATCATGTCAACTCACGAAAAAGTCAGTCAGATCATCTGATTGGTTACTGTAGGAAGAAATTATAGCAGCCTTGGGCAATGCGGTTGAAATTGGGTCGAGTAACAGGTTTGGCATGTGAGGATTGGAACGGGTTGTCCATGTCAGTTAATTAAGGTTTTTGACTTCTTTATTGTATGTGAATTGACACTCTAGTTTGGACAATTTTAGATGGAAAACTTGATTGAGATGGTCCAAGTGGCTATCATGTAAGTTATTCGAAAGAAGTCTGTTACAGGTTCCATTAGAGAAATGTACCTCTAGATTGCTACTGGTTTCCTCATCCAGCACATCGATGTACTGAACTTTCAGACGCCTCTTGGAAGCTTCCAGGACCTTGCACCTAAACCAACACCCTCTAATGCCGCTGTCTTCACACAGCAACTCTATCTCATCATCCGCCTTGAATGTCACAGGAGAGGGCAACTGAGGCGCGACCGAATCCCTGCTGTTCGTAGTTCTCCTCGATAAGCGGAACTTAAGCTTAGGAAGCGCAGGCTTAGTCTCTACCGGCTGATGGATCCCCGGGGCAACATTGGATGATGTACTCTTTCTCTTGCCATTCGCTCGTGCACAAATAACATCTTCATAAGCCAATTGATCATCGCACTCACCGAGAGAGGCGACGATGGATTGGTTGGAGTATCCATTCAGTTTTGCGAGAGCGAATGGCTTGAGCTTGTTGTTCTTGAGCTGGCGAAAGCACATGTGGACAGCTGGCGAAGATGATGGCGAACTGAGGTCAGCAACTGCCACATATTTTTCGTAGTGCCAAGGTGTCAAGACAGTCGCTGAGCTGTCGATACACTCTGCGCTGATGACCTGGACATTAGACGTTATGACGACTTCTCTGGGATGAGGGTTTAGCTGAGGAATCAGAGTGTTGACTTCCTGACTGCGGTAGAACCAGCGAACCTTCACCTTTTTCTTGCCTTTCCTATCCTCGTACATATCTTCTAAGTAGCCAAGGTAGTGCTGTTCCTCTTCAGCCAAGATGAACACAAACGAATGCACCTAGAGAGAAAAAAAAAGTAATGGACGGATATAAACCACTACAGAAACTGTTTGTAACTTAAAATTGAAGAAACAGAGTGATTTTATGACTACATACCGGTATAGCAGTGCCGTTCCTTGTCAAAAGTGGGTAATGCTTCAGCTGTTTAGCACAGATCAAAGCAACACCAGACCAATCGATGCTTGCTTTTTCGACTTTTGGTCTTCTCTGAGCCTGCATCGTGATGAAGAGTTTGATGCAATGCTTAGAAAGTATGTTGAATAGTAGCAGGAAAAGCAGTATCAGGTTTCTTACCACATGCTCTGGCAAATAAGTATTGAACGGAGCCAATCCGGTAACAGCCTCAAGAGATCCCAAGCTGTCGGTGGAGTCGTTTATATCAACACCTGCAACAGAAGTTCATTCATACACACGATTCTTTTTTTATGTGCGAAACAGACAAGGAACTCACTACAACAGGGTAAGAAAATAAATCTGTCCTGAAAGATAACAATCACCACTCAAGAATCAGATTCTAATGAGCCAAACATTCATAGGCCAAAACTGAGTAAACATATCTAAGCTAAGCTGATTCACATAGGCAATTATGCTATATGACGAAAAACCCAACTCAGCTAAACTCCATTTAGCCTAGTCATTGCCTCTACACCATTGATGATAGCCGAATGTCCATTTTCACTTTTCATTTTTCAACAGAGCACTTCAGGTCACCTTTCGAAGTATTCCATTACTGAAAATCGTAATTAAGGTTTACAACATCAAGGCAGACAGCCTCTTGCTATCATAATAAAATAAAAACGGGTTTCCGCTGATAGTGCTGGCCCTACTTCATTAACTAAGACGATGAAGACATAACACATGAGGGGGGGAAACTAACATCTGGTGGTTTTATACAGATCTGGAAGTTCTAACCAAAAGGGCCAAGATCTGAATGCAATTACAAGAAGACTGAACTAATTACTGAGAGGCATGAGCCATCATAGATCCAAACAAAAAGTTTTAACAAGAGGGATTCCTTTTACCTGCCACCATGTTAACCCCAAATTGATCTCTACAGTCTTTAGCTTTACCACGAAGCATAAGCTAGAAGAACAATCTAGATCGCCCTCAAAACTCTGGAGGGTTTGTAATCAACCCACACACTAAGCCTACCCACTAGAGTGACGGAGCATATATATAATCGCTCTTCCCTGGTCCTCTACGTGTACACATTCATGTGCGGGACGTGCATGTAATATACGTGGCGCAAAAAATCTGATAGGATCATGTGGTTTTCAAAATATTATCAGGTTTAAGAACTAGATACAGTGAATGTGGACCTTCAATGCAAGTTTATCATACTGCAAACTAGAATACAGTTCTCTGATTTGAGTAATATGATAAATTCTGTTTTCCTAAATTGAAGAGAGATGGGGAAAAATCAACGTTTTGCCGTAATAAATTTTAAATAGAATTCAGATTTGGCCAAGACTACTTGCATCACAGTTGTAATTTCCATATTGTTCAAATGGAGACTTAAAGGGAAAACAGAGATAGCTTTCTTTTTCAAAAGAGAACCACGGTTATCCAACAATGGAAAAAATATCATCTGTGACATTATAGAAAGACAAACAAACAATGGGATTGAGCCACGTGACGCATAATCGTTGGAATTCAGGTATCACACAGAGAACAACACTCGGCATAGACCGGTATTAACTGGAAAAACATATGGATACAGATTATCTAGGCATTCGAATATGAATTTAAAGCTCTTCAAACTCTATAGAGTATCGTTATAACATTATGGGAAATCATGAACTCTCCATATCTAATGCAATTGAAACAATGTCATTCTAACTTTAACAATCCCTGACACTAGTTTTTAACCATAGTATAATAATCAACTGAAAGTTGACAAGTAAGAATTCCATATTACAACTAAGTGTTAACAACTACAACAATGCAAGTTAAATAATGTATAGCATCACTTCCTATCATTGTACTTCGAGTAAGTAGCTATATGTTCGTTTTTTCCTCGATACTTATTTCGAAATCACAATGCCAACTCCCAAGGGAAGTGCATCTACAATTAAACACACAAGGTACATTAACATGACCAAGAGAAGTAGATTCAGCTACCAAATGGAGCTTTTCAACATTACAAACAATTATGCAGACTCTTCCTCTATATTCTTGACCCTAATGCAGAATCTTTCTCCAGAATACTATAGCATAAGTGTATCATAACCAAACACGTAACACTGCTACTGAAATCTGTTAAGGCGTGCAAGGCAGGAGCAGGTTCTACACATGCTTTTTGAAAGCTCTAAATTAGGATGGTATCACAAAAACCATATACCAAAAAGTAAATCAAGAAAATAAACGACGATTCAAATCCTTAGCTACTATTCATATCAATAAAAAAGACAAGTCGTGATGCTACTAAGATATCAACCCGCATACCTGCAACACCTCGATCCCTGGACACCATGGCGGCAAGCCAGTCCACAACTTCTCGTCTCGCTCTCCATTTCGTGGAGGCACTGAGGCCAAAATCAGTCCCATAAGCAACCAAGAACCCATCGGAAACAACGTATATCATATGCCTTACGCTCCGCTCAGTCCCTATCACAGCTAACAGAGACTGCCCCAAAGCATTCTTCAAGTAATAGTGAACCACTCGGTTCCCACGCTCATGGCAAATAATGTGTTCTTCCCATTCCACAAAACTAACATTACGACTCACAGCCATCTCTCAACTAAGAATAGAGATTCCCCAACAGCCGCCAAACCTGAGATATACAAAATTCAATCCCAATTCAGCAAAACCAGTTTTACTAAAACCCTTCTTTATCATTTGCAAAATCCGAAGAAGAAAGGAGAGAAGAACTCACCTTAGCTATGGAATCCACATTCAAAACTGCCCCCACTTCTCCTATAAACCAACCAGGTGGCCTTTTTGGCAAATTTGAGGGATGTAAAGAGAGCCCTGCTCAGCTGGAAGAAAAGACAACTCTTTTGGGTTTCCCCCCTCTAATGTGGGTTTTCAGGCTAATGCGAGTTGAACGGATAGAGAAAAGAAAGCTTCAAGCTTCTTCTTCAATTGAAAAGGCTTCTTGTTTTGTCTAGTCCTGTCGTTGTCATGCAATCCAGAAGACAACAGGAGTGTGGCGTGCGGCGAGGAATTCTGTGAGTAGAAGCGAGAGAATATGCGAGACAGGTGGAGAAAGAAACGGAAAGGGAATAGGTTTTTCTTGGGGTTTTGGAGAGACTTGAAAGAAGGGAGGGGAGCCCATGAAAAGTGGGGGCAAAGAAAACAACCGGAGCTGCTGCGGCGGTGGTGGGAGAGTGGGAAAAAAGGAAGGGAAAGAAAGAAAGAAAGCGGGAGAAGGGAAATTATGGCGGAAAGGTAATTTCCTCATAAGATTAAGCGTAAAACTGTAAATGGATTGGGGAAAATTATTAGACCAAGAGGGGATAAATAAAGGGCAATCTCGTAACTAAGCAAAATGAAAGTAAGTATAAAATACTCACCGAGAGCACCAAATCGCCGGCGATGGGCCAACTCTGCCACTCTCATTTGGGACGTGAATGGATGCGGAGCCGATGATTTCTCCGATTGCTGCCGCCGTCTCCACTCACTTTGTTTGTTACTCTACTATGTACTAGCTAGCTCGCTTTGCCTTCGCTTCTCTTTCTATGCCTTTCTGTCTGTTCTCTGGAGAACTGGAAATGGATTCTTCTTCTCCTTCCGCTTGCTCACTTCTTCTCCGAATCGAGGCTGTGATGACCCACCTCCAGAGAGTTTTTTAACAGACGGCGGCGCTGTTTGGCGTGGCGATCGATCCAGCACCTAGCTGCTGCTCCGATTTTGCAGCCAATGGCTGCTCGTCGTCTGATTAACAATGGCGGATTTCTGAGCATTTTTCACAAATTTCTAAAACCAGCACAGAACACTTTTGGAAGTGAATGGTTGCTCGATGAAACCATAGTAGAAAAATAAGAACTTTTTACTTTGGGTAGGTTTTTAAACATACCCATGGTTCTGTTGCATCTCCATTTCTTATCAATGGTAAACAAATCCAGTGATACAGTTGAAAAAACTAAGCTTTTAGACTATATATATGGCTTGTCCAGTTCATGGCTCCATAGCACTGAATCCACATAGTCCATCAGCTGCTGCAGTATGCTTTGCATGCAGCAAAATGGACTAATACAAAAATGCAAATACATAGAAGACCTAATATTAATGTGACCAAAAACCATTCACAGAAACAAATCGATGTAATAGGTAAAGGAAGAGACTTGGTTGATGAATCAATTAAACAGTGCTTACAATATATGGTTTCATGAACCTCTCCAAATGAAGAACTGCACTTCTCGGGAAAAGAGAACAAAACAAAAACTCTCACTTTTAAGGCAACTAACTGCCTATTCAATCTAAGCCATATGAGAGGTCAAGAAATGCGAACTATAACCTTGTTCTTCTTGCCAGCAGACAAAAGGAGAAGCTTCCCATCAACTATGTCTTCATCCTCAATTCTCTTACTCTCCTGATCAACTCTGCTATTGTTTAGGTACAAACCTCCTTGCTTCATCAACCTCCTAGCAGCCGATTTGCTTTCCAGCAAACCGGAAGACACTGAGAGATCAACGACGGACAGATCGACAACTTCGTTATATGCCATGGAACAGGAAGGCACATCCTCAGCAATCCCTTCAATCGTTTTCCAGTCCAACTTAGTCTCGGCTCCAGGCCTCAAAGCTTCGGTAGCCTTGATCGCCTCTTGAAGCCCTTCTTCACCATGGACGAATCGAGTCACCTCTTCTGCAAGCAGCTTCTGTGCAGTGTTTGGCAAGTAACCCGGACTCCGCATCTGCAATTCCATCTCCTCTACCACCTTCATGTTGAGGAAAGTCAGCATCTTGAGAAACTTGATCACGTCGGAATCAGGAACCGAGAACAAGTGCTGGTAAAACTTGTAAGGAGACAGCATTGCAGGGGACAACCAAATGGCTCCATCCTCGGATTTCCCAAACTTGGTCCCGTCGCTCTTGAGCAGGAGAGGGAAGGTTAAGCCGAACCCTCCTTCGCCTTCTTTCGGCTGAAGGATTCTCCTGATGAGATCAGTCCCCGCCGTAATGTTCCCCCACTGATCACTTCCTCCAATCTGAACATTCACTCCATGGTTCTGGAAGAGGTAGAGAAAATCATAGCCCTGTAATAGCTGGTAAGTGAACTCCGTGTAGCTCATTCCTTGCTCGGATTCAAGCCTCTTCTTCACACTCTCTTTCGCAACCATGGTTCCTACCCGAGCGTATCTCCCCACCTGTTTGAGAAAATCCAGCAATTTGAACTCCTTCCACCAATCGTAATTGTTCATCACCACGAAAGAGGTCGTCGAATTGCTCGAATTCAGGATTCTGGTTACGGTATTGGCTATCCCTAAGGTGTTCCTCTCGAGGGATTCCACGTCCAGCTCGGGCCGCTCGAGGCTTTTCCCCGAGGGATCGCCGATTCTGGCGGTGGCGCCACCGATAAGCGCGACGGTTTTATGGCCGCAGCGGTGGAACCAGGAGAGGACTAAGATGCCGAGGAGGTTGCCTAAGTGCAAGCTTTCGGCGGTGGGATCGAAGCCGCAGTAAACCCTAAGTGGAGAAGATTCTGGATTGGAGGAAACCGACCTGAGATTGTCGCTGGTGAGGGATTCCAGCAAACCTCTTTCCTCCAATATGTCAATTACATTCCGCCGTCCGATTTCCGCCGAAACGGAGGTCGTTATCCCCGTGGTGGTGGAAATTTCTTCCGCCGATTGTACGCAGCGGATCCCCAAGAACAGGCGAACCTTCCCGCTGCCGCAGTTGCACCTGGGGATTTTGGCAGGAAGATTTAAGAAGGCGGGAACAGTGATGGTGAATCTTTGATGGAAGGAAGAGAGCAGCGACCGTGGAGATACCGCCGCCGATGCGGCCATTGCAGATTAGCTTGGGTTGAATAGAAGAATCGGCCGGCCGCCGGCTTCAAGGAAGTCTAAGTTCGATTCTCCCCTCTTCCACCCTCAGTCGCCAGTTCCTCATCTTGTTGTTGCAGAGAGGGCTATCTTGGGCCATGCTAGTCTCCGGGCCTCCGGCCCAATATATCTTTCCACTTCGTTTTTTTCGCGCCCGTTTCTTGTTGGGCTGCAAGCCTGCAATCGGAATTTCCCGCTCTATCTCATCCTAATCCAATAACTACCACTACCTGTCAACCATTTTCCAATCGCGCAACGGAAAAGACGAATACGTTTTTATAAATTTATTTATCATCGTACAATTTAAATTCCTTACATGAATACATTTTTACTGTTATCTAATGTTTTGGTGTAAAGTAAATTGAAACGATCCATATGAAAGTTACAAACTTTTGCTACGAGCAAGAGCAAGAAACGGAAGAGACCGACATGGGGTAAGAGTAAGTGTTGGCGTAGTCAAAGCTGACCAACCGGCCGGCGGCGAGAGGCCGGCCGCCGTTGACGAGGCAGTCGTTGTAGGCAAGGCGTCGGAACTTGTTGGGCACGACCAATTTGGCGGATGAGAACCAGCCGCAGGTGACGTGGATGTCGGAGATGCTACAATCTCCGGTGTTCAATATCTCCACCGCGTAGGTTGGGATCCCGTTGGGTTGCGGCGCCATTTGTGCTTGGGATATCGCTATGTTGCCTTTCGAGCATTCACCTTTAGCAGAACCCGAATGGCCAATGAGTAGCCTTGGAGCAATGCTAACTGGATCGGCAATGGCGGCCTCGACATGAAACAGGGTAGAGATCAACATGGCGGTGAGAAACAGGTCTGATCCTCTAATTATCATCGTGATCAAAGCTACTGAGTTTTCTCTAATTTAGTGATTATGGCGATTGAGAGACTGTTGAAAAGAAGGATCAATTGATTGGTGCACTAATATTTGTAGATTAGATAGCATTTGGGGGGGGGTTAACATATGGTGATTTGGTTGTTACTTGTTGGTGCCCTTTTATGGGTTAAGAGTGATTCCAGGGGTTTCATATGGTGTAAGATGAATTGAAATTTGAAGTCTTATATGGTGAACTAGTAGTTTTGAACATTTCCTTTTGGGGGTAAGGTGATTTGAGTTTGTTTTTAACTAAAATAGTTGGATGTTTTTGATCGGGCGATTTTCGCGATGCTTTGATGTAAGATTTCAGCTCGTTGACGTATGAGAAGGGTTGATTTGTCGTCAAATTAAGGAATTCAGAAAGAGTTGCTTTGTTGTCAAAATTAGGGAATTCAACTAGATGCTTGTGTTCAAACCATGATAAAAGTTGTATAACAAAAGATAAGGAGTTGATTTGTTGTCAAATTAAGGGATTTAAGAAGGGTTGATTTGTCACTAAACTATGAAACTCAACAAGATACTTATATTATATGTCCAAAAACAAACAAAACAAAGATAATCGTTAAGTCAGCATGCTAATAGAGTCCGTTTAGCTTAAGACAGAATAGCAATTGGTGACACATATTAATAGTCTTTCTTGTTGTAATTCAATTAAACGAGTAAGTGATAGATAGTTTGGATCTAATTACTTGTCCACGTTTGACATTATCCTATCGTTTTCAGACATGGCACGAGTCTTCCTCCATCTTTGATTATCTTGGCTTTTATAGATATGACACGATATGGCATGATAGTAGGCTAAAGAGTTGACTCATGTGTGACTCTATCGGCAATTTTGTTGTTCACTCTATTAATGATTAAGAGTTGACGTTGCTTTGCAACTTTTCACCAATATGTAATATATGGTTTGTATGCTTGTTAATCACAAGTCCACTATCACCCAACCCAATGACCCAAAGACCAACCAAAAGGGCATTCTTGTAATCCCCGGTAAAAAAACAAGCCTACTATAAGTACTCCGGACCGCCGGCGAGAAAATAACGTCGACGATCAATTAATTCAAAGAATGAGGCTTTGCTCTCTGAGAAAGCGGAAAGTGTTTCGGCTTTTCCCCTTAACTCTCTGAACGGCTGCGGAGCCTATGATTTCTCCGATCGTCACTCTGGGAAGTGGAAACAAACAAACCCATTGCATATTGTGCAGATCTCTTCCTTCCGCCGCCATCGCCGTCACAACCACCACCACCAGAACCTTAACATCCAGCTTCGATTGATGTTTCTCATCTTTTGAAGCTGTGTTCTCTCTTCTTCGCCGGAACAGCGATGAAACATGAGCGCGCCGCTCCTTCTTCTCCTCTTGGGTAAATGGGGCTGTGACGAGATCTCCGGCGAGGGTTTCGGGGTCCATTTCTTCCTGGCGGGGCGATTTCAGTAGCATGTTAGCTAACTCGATTTCGCAGCCTAAACACGGCCGTAGGGATTCCCTCTCTCACTCTGTCACCGGATCTGAGCCCTTCCTTCCTTCTACTGCATTTACAGAACGAAGTCACTTCAAAGCTGGATTCTTTTTTGACGCTGTTTACTTCTTTAATTCCACCATGTGCTAATATAAAACTATATCTTGTTCGTGTAGAAATTCTCCAGCATTGAAAATGACTAGAGAAAACAGAGCAGAGAGTTAATCAAGACAGAGGAGGGAACAATCGGGAATGGGGAGAAAGAACGGCAGCTTCCTGCCGGATGTACTTGTTGGGATTATTGGGATCGACGATCCATTGGATTTCACTCATATTGTGAGAGGAAGAGGAAAACAAGAGCGGCAGGCGGCAGAGATTAGGGAAGGGACCTCTGCCTGGCCCGGGGGAGAAGAGAACTGTTTCGTGGGTTGGGCCGGATGCTCGAATGGGCTCAGAATGTTGCGGACTACAACTAATCAAGTAACAAAAGTTCATTTTGACTCAAACCAAGGGTCTTAACTATAAAACCAAACACGTGTGCTTCACCTAAAAACGTATAGAAAAAGAACACAAGATCATTAACCAGTTAAATTGTCCGAAGTGAACAAATCATCTCATCAAAATTAATTTTACTAAAGTTATGTGGAGGTTTGCTGTTAAAATGTTCACATGATGATCGAATATATCATCAATCCTATATAGTTTTTATTAGATATACATTAGTTTAAATGTCGTTTTTACTAGCCTTTGGTAGGATAAGATTCAAAAAAGGGAAACTTCTTATCCTAGGTATAGGTTCAAATCAAACAATGCTATCTTGGTTAATAATACAATTAAACAAAAACTTAAACATTTCCTCCTTTGGTTTGTAATGAATAATGATCAATGAGGTTCTAAATTCTAATAGTGAACCTAATTGGAAAACAAAATGAAGCAATTTTGATACGTATCCTAAATGGAGGAAAGATGTTTAATGTGACCCACCCACCCACTTGCTAAAAAATGGCTAAACTAATGATAAACCTACCCATCATTTAATTTAAGCAACGATAGTTAGTTAGAGGGTTAGGGTTCCCATTTCCTTAATCATGGAAGGGGCTATAGTTCTGTTAACTCTCCAAATATGATTTAGAGTCCTTCATAGCAGATACTAGGAATCACACTCACTCTTATTTACAAAGAGAGGGTAAAAAAAAACTGTTCAATATGTGAGGATCATATTAATTTCTTTCGACTAATATATTAAACATTAACATTGTATGATGACTCACTGGCTTATATGACCGATGAATTTGTAATAGAAAGTTAGCATGATGTACTTGTTCTAGCATCTCACCAAAATATCTTTACAACATAATTGAATAGGCTGTAGCTAGGACGACTAGGATTATATAAATATGCATGAACTAGCTCGAAAAATATTTTAGGCCTCCTTAATCCCAAATGCTACTTCTGGTTAATAACAAATTGCAACCACTCAAAGGAAGGTTTTAAGTAGAATGTGTGCCGTTGTTAGTTAACTTGCCCATCAAGCCATCATTTATTGTTATCATGCAAACCCCCCAATAGCTATTAATATCATCATTTAAGTTTTGGAAATGACCTCAAAATGGGGGTCTTACGTACACCACAAGTAACTAGAAATCTCTGTATGGTGGTGTGAAGGGTTTCCTTTTTCCCTCCACCTAAGGGAAGAATTCAATCTTGTATAGGGTTTCCTATTACTCTCACGAAAGGACAGATGCCTCTCTCAACGACCCTAATTGTTATAGGATCCCAAAGAAGCCATTCCTAGCTATTTTTATTGCCTATAAACTTGGCCACGGGGCCAAGAGAATGGAAGGGAAACCTCACAATGAATGATTTGGAGCTCTACCAACCAGTGATTGTGACCATTACATTTACGCCATTCTACATTCTTCTCGGCACAAGTAGTTTGGAGAAAAAAGTATGAACACTAGCTATAGCCATGTATAGGGAAAGTGATGTGGTGTGTAGAACTTCCATATGTTAGGAAATTTATCAAACAAGAGAGGCCACATCCTTATTACACCCTACATGCATATCAATATTCTTAATACCAACATGGGTTGTTTTGATTACTAATGTTCGAGACGGAGGGTTGTTTGGTTTTTGATGGTTTCGGGAGTGAGATATAATATCGAGGGGGTAGAAAGTAGAGCGAAGTCGTAGTAAATGTAGATAACTTGTCACTTGTGAGGAGATAACGTAACTCATATTCGTACAAAGTTGGATGGTAGGTACGTGGTGATAACATAAATTAAATGTTGTTGTATCGGGCGCCTAATCTCTCACTCTTACTCTCTGTCACTGTACATTGTACTTTTTGGTTAGACTTGTATAGATTGTTCCACCGACCTCTTCCTTGGTAATGTCAGATGTGTAAGCATGTATCCTGACTTTGTCCTCTTCTTAGGCTTCTTTGATTCCTTCTATTTGCCGATGTGAGAATTTAGGGTTTGCCTCTAGACTTTGTATTGGGGCACTTCATGTTGATTACTCCCAAGTATCTAAATCTTGACCCTTTAACCCCTATCAACTAATGATATAACGATTCAATGTGTGTGTTGTTAATTGATAGTAGTTTAGTATATAAACTACATCAGTTACAGTAAATTACGTTCGAAAAATTTGATGAAAAGTGCATTCGGACTTTAGAAAATGATATAATGTATATGGTATAATTTTGGTGATCTAATCAGTACTTAAGACGTTATAGTTACTTATGATCATGATTCATGTTCATTTAATTTAATTTCATTATTTCAAGCAATAAGTTCGAAATAGCAACAATGAAATTTATTATTATTAGAAGAAAAACAATAACAACAACGAATTAGCTGTCTCCAAACGAACCATGCAACGCAACCCCCAAAATATTCTCCCGCAAGCATCAGGAAGCCAAGAAACAAACAAGAGGGGGAAAAAAGGAACCCCTCGAAACCCGTACGCGCGAAACAAGAAAAACGGAGGCTTCTCTAACTTTAAACCCCAACCACCTAATTAGTTGTCAATCACCCCTTAATTCTACTTCAAAAAAGGAAGAAAAACACAATTAATTAAACTAATTAATTCCAAGCCGCACACAGAAACCTAGCCGCCTAAGCAGAAGAAAAAAAACCGCACTATAAATCCCCCCCGCTCCCCTTCCCTTCAACCTCGCTTTGCAACTTAACTTCCTCTCTAAAACTTTCCCTCCTTGGCTTCATTTTCTCTCCCTTAAACCGAAGTCTCTTACAATGGCGGAACTAATGAGGGGCCTCCTCCACTCGGCCTGCCACGTCCTCGGCGGATACAACAAAGACGTCGCCGACGACGGCGGATACAGAGCAGCCGCGGCGCCGGCGGCGGAGACAGGGTTCAGGATGCCGCTCCACTACCCGAGGTACAGCAAGAGAGACTACGAAGCGATGGAAGAGTGGAGGCTGGATCTCCTCCTCTCCCAGTACGGTATCCGCCTCGCCGGCACCGTCGACGAGAAGCGCGCCTACGCCATCGGCGCTTTCCTCTGGCCCGACCAGTACTGAACGGAAACAGAGAAACTCGAGAGGGAAGAGGATCAGAGAAGGAATTTCCAAGGTGTTAATTGGAGTCGGGGGTTTTTTCGTTCTTAATTATATGTATTAACTGTTGTTCTTTTTTTTTTGGTTTAAAGAATGGAATGATTAGACGTAATTCGTAACTACTGTGAAAATTATATGCGTTCGCCGGCGACGGCGCGGTGCTCTCTGGCCAGCGGCAGCCGCTTTGTTTCGATTTCTCCGGATTATTAATTAGTGATGGTAATTACGGAATCGTAGTTAGTTATTACGGTGTGGCCCGTTAACTGTGGAGCCCATTCTATTGGGCCGAGGCTGATATGGGAGGTGAAGTACATGATGTGGGCCGGGCTTCGGCCCATTACGAATGAACTCTTAACCAGCTAGTCGACATCATTTACAAATACAGCCAACAGAGTTGTTGACTGACCCGCGTGGATGCTGTAGAAAGTTCCAAATAGTGCTCTCTCTCTCTCTCTCTCTCTCTACTTTTGACCTGCCCAAGAACAGAATTTACTGTTGCCCACCAAACAGTTTTACTTTTTTACCGATCAAAGCCTGGTCGACATGAATTCTGTTCTTTATGACTGATATGGACGTGAGCTACTTTGCTGCACAAGTCTTTGCATTTAATCATTCATATCATATTATCCCAAAATCCAAGCTTTACAAATTAAGAATATCTGCCATAGCCAAAATATCTTGCTATAAGTTAAGAGAAGGTGGGAAAGAAGCTAATATAGATCTGAGGCTCAAAGTTGAGCAGCAAGTCAATACTGAAACAGTAAGATGTCACTCAACATTCACCATCTCTATATCTAAGGCCCAGGAAAAATAAAGTAGACGAAAACTGCTTTGTTTCCTTGCTCAATCCTGATTTCCTCCCTGGCCCCTTCAAATCAGATTCACTCAAATAAGCCAAATCCTAGGTAAAAGCTCAAAGCTTTCCTCTTCATTCCACAAAACCCACATTCCAGAATCTCTTATTATAGTTCATCACGAACGAACAAAACCCACAAATGAGAATGGATTCTAGTAACAGTCATCATAAGCTCATAGCGGTGGGTGATTACTTGTTCATGAGGAGGAGCTGCGTGCAGCTGGTGATCACTTTCTCCCTCTTCTCTGTGCTGATATCCATCTCTTGGGTTACTAGTGGTATGGTTGCCAAGAGCTATGTGTACATAAAGTTCAATCCTTTCTTCTCGTCCTTCTTCACGCATACCTTGAAGAGGAAGTACATGTTCTTGATCTTCAATGGCATCCTTGCTTTCCTTGCCACTTCGGCGTCATCAGCTTCCTCCACCACCGCCATTATCAGAAGCAGCATTTCGTCACAAACTACTTCAGCTTCTTCTTATGCTCATCATCGTGATGAGGGCATGGTGGAGGAGGAGGGTTCAGCTGCGGTTCATGAAGATTGTGATGAGATTGATGATGGTTCTGATGTGGAAGAAGGGGTTGTTCATGAAGAAGTGGTTGTTCGTGAAGAGAAGATGATGAAGGTTCAAGGTGGGGATTGTAGAAATCAATTTCAGCAACAAGGAGTAGAAAGAGTAGTAGAAGAAGAAGAAGTAGAGGAAGAACAAGAGGAGGAGGAGGAGGAAGAAGAAGGGTCAGAATTGGAGGGAGAGGGAGGGAATGGATGTAGCACAGAGGAAATGAACTCAAGGTTTGATGAGTTGCTTAGGAAGATGAAGGTAAGGATGATGTCTGAATCCAAACAGCAGAAGCTGCTGCTGCAGAAGCTCATACCCTTTATCTAGTTACTGTAACCCAAATGTGTGTATTGAATTAGTTGGAAACAGATCTGGTTGTTTGATATGGATGTAGTGAAAAAAACTTTCAAGACTATGAACGGCATCATCATAAAGTGTTATTGGTGGGCATGTTCCCAATTCGAAATCAGATCTAAGTATATGTTTTTGATGAATCCTGATTGTGGTCATTAAATTAAACTGGTTATAGTTTGATCAAGTTTATATGTCTTAAGTACTTAAAAAAGTAAAGAAAAAACCGAACCGAACCAAATCAGAACTGAACTTCTAATCCTCATTTTCTCCATTGTATTTGGTTGGATCTAAGCATATTAACAAGAACGATCAAGTTAAATGCAGAATATTAATGTTACTGGTTGGTGGAATGGGGCAGAGATGTAAGATAGATCAATCTCAGGGATTCTTCTCCTTCCAATGGATTAGAAATTGGTTGCTGAGTTGTGACCTTCAGGGAGCTGGTCTAGTCTTTGCAGGGTTTTGTTCATTACCAAATGCAATAGAGTTTATAGCCCAATTGTCATTGGTTCGGTTCAATCAGCATTACCATTGAAGCATCTAACCTTCGATTTCTTCCAAACAATTATTGCAGAGTTTTTATCATTATCAAATGCAAGAACAAATGGTTTGAACAAAGATCATAATGATTGATTGATATGTACACTAGGAGAATGTTCCTTGGAGAGAACATAAACAAGTTATCCAAGGAACCATGAGCCTACAGAGCATAATGGTTTTCATCAGGACGGCCTGCAACATAATTTAGGAGCCCTTCAGCATTCCCCTGACCATGTTGCTGATGATTCGGACCGATATTCAGTCTCGGAAGGTCGTGATGAAGATCAGAAACACAGTTGTGGAAGCCAGGAGAGGCAGGAAGTATGCGAGGATAGTGACGAGGCTCGGAGCTGCATACATCAGAAAGGAAAGGGAAAAGGGATGTGAAGGCTGCAACTGCAAAATGGTACTTGTATTGCAGCAACAGCTTCTCTGAGATCTCCATGGCTTACACTTCCTCAGCACCTTCATCGTCACATTATACATAACCTCCTCCCGGTTGAACTTCAGCTTATCCCTAAAATACCTCATCGCAAGCAAAGCCGCTGCAGGGTTCGTCATGTTATTGACCACAACCACCGCCATCCTGCTCCAACAAATTATGTCCTAGCCCGTTCAAAACTCTCGAAACTTCCTCCACGCTCGCCTCGCACGAATTCAAATCCTCGGAGGCTTTAACGAGAGAAGAATACCTAGCATCGTATGACTTTCTGCGGAGCTCGGAAGCTTTGGCGCTTCTGGGATTCACCCAGACGTAGGATTTTGACGAAGTCCCAGTCCCAGCTGCTTTTTCCATTTGGGTCCCTGACATCTTCCTCCTCCTTTGCGGATTGCTGCGGGACAGTGTCGTGCAGAGAGACATGGGTGGTGGTGAGCTGCAGGAGCGACGAAGGCTTCGATTGAGGTGGGAAAGTTGGGAGCTTTATGAAATAATAGGTTGAGGGCTTTGGTTTTGGGTCTCGGGACGGAGAAGAGAGCGAGTTCCAGAGCGGTTGATAGAGAGAAGAAGCCGAAGCGCAGAGATTATACGCCATTTCTGCTGCTGCTCTGTTTTCTCAGGGCTTTAGAGAGGAAGCGAACTAGACAAGTATCTTAATCTTATGATTCTTATCAACTGAACTGAAATGGAAGAGATAGGGAAAATATTGAATTTAGTCACTGATCTTTCACTGGATGACAAACAAATCCCTTTACTGCGGAATGGGCCACCGTGAGCCCAAAACAATCAGGTGGACCGAGCAAAAACACCGCCAATCGCCGTCGCAAATCTCTTCCCCCATTTACTTTTCCCCGCTGCAATTTTTCAGTTGCTGCCGCGGGAACAACCGGAATTAAGTTCTTCGACGGAGAAATCATGGCCTCCGTTGGCGCTGGAATCAATCGGTTCCTTATTCAGAAGGTAATTCTTCACTGAATCGATGATCTTCTTCCTTATAGCTTTGGATTTGGATTGCTCTTTCTGCTGTTTTAATTGCCGCCTTTCTCAAATTTCTTGCTCACCCGAGTGAATTTTTTTGTGTGATTAAGCTGATAAGTTGAAATCTTTTTTGTTGTGGGGTTGTTGATAATCACAGTGGGAATGAGTAAGTATGGTTTAAACCTGCGGGTACCCAAGTCGCAGCAGAATAAGAAGCCACCGAGGCCGCCGCCTCCCAAGGTCCTGGGGTTTGGGGACGATGAAGATGACAATGTGGAGCAAGAGATTTTGCGGCAAGCTAGCAAGAACAATTCTCTTAAAGACGTAAGCTTTGGGGAGAAAACTAATGTTGTTCATTGATGTCTTCATAGTTCTGTGTCCGCTTACTTCAGTCTTTTTGTTTTTGAAGGTTGAGGAGCAACATAAGAAAGCGTTGGAGGAGGATCCGTCAGCGTTTGATTATGATGGAGTTTACGACGAGATGAAGCAAGCAGTTGTTCGTCCGCGGATTGAAGATAAGCAACAGAGAAAGGTACATACATCTCTAAATTGTAGAACTCTGCTCAACTAGTAATCGTAGTTTAGAGTGCCAAGCTTAAAGAGTGGTTGGTGCGTTGGCAAATTGTTTGCTCTTGTCTATGTAGGAGAATTCCACACTGCTTCATTCCAGTAATAACTCATTTCTAGGTTCGGTGAACGTGGAAGATTAGCTTCAGTGATGAGTGTCCTTTCTTTGCTATTTTTCATTCTCCAGTCTTTATTGATTTCCTTGCATTGATAGAGTATGATGATAATGTATCTGTGATTAAGATCAGAATACTGATCAGAAGTAGCTGCTCCTTTAGTAACTTGAATGAGGCTTGTATAAGATCTTGTTATATATCTCTCTATGTTTCTAACTGCATTTTATCCTTATGACAGTGCTTGTGCTTAGGTATTAACTCTTTGTTTAGAGTTTTGGCTCTTGCCTTGGTCTAATATCTTCAGAAGACAGGAATCCAGGCGAAAATATTGCTTATCTGCAGGATGTAACTGATTATGGTGCTTCTCTTTGCAGCCCAAGTACATCGAGGCTCTGATTCAGAAAGCAAAAGAGAGGGAACGTCAACAGGAGGTAGTGTTCGAGAGAAAGATTGCCAAAGAAAGAAGCCAAGACGACCATCTTTATGCCGACAAGGACAAATTTGTTACGAATGCCTACAAGAGGAAACTCGCTGAGCGCGAGCAGTGGTTGAAAGAAGAAAAACTCCGTGAACTCAAAGAGCAGAAGGACGACGTGAGTGCAACTTATTTTTCTTTGCTTACTGATTCTTTATAAAAAACTCTTATCTATTCTCTTTTGAATATGGCGGCGAAAATAATTGCCATGAATGATCGATGTTTTTGCCTTACTATTGGTGACTAAATTACTGTTTTTCCTTTGAAAGGTTACCAAGAAGAGCGATTTGACCGACTTTTACTTCAACCTCACCAAGAACGTTGCATTCGGTGGTCAAGACGCAGAGACGAGGCGGCAAGAGAAGCGGGCTGCTGAAGCCAAGAAGGCGGAGGAGGAGAAGCAAGATGTTGGGGAATCCTCAGCAGGAGTAGTAGGAGGATCAAAGGCAACCCCCTCATCGCTACCGGAGTCTGAGAAGCCATTGCATCCTTCACCGGACTCTGATTCTCAAACGCATCTCGAACCTACAGATCTCAAGCCAGCAGCTGATAAACCGGTCTGCGATGCTTCTTCATCAGCACCCGCAGAAGAAGTTACCACAGAGGAGCAGCCACCACCGGCTAAGCAAGCTACAGCTGACCATTATAAGAGAAAGCAAGATGAGATCAGTGCAGCGAGAGAACGGTTGTTGGCCAGAAAGAGAGCAAAACTGCAGCAGCAGCTACTGTAGGGTGTTGGTAAGGACTAACTAGTCCTGTGCATCAAGGCATGTGAACATTTCTTGTATCCAACTTGACTTGTGCTGTGAAATTGTGAGAAGTGAATTCTTAACCTGCAAGTCTGTCACTGTGTAATTGCTTACTGATTGTTAAATTGTACGAGGTCTTGCCCTCATGTTTGTTTGAGCTGTTTGAAAGCATTTTGATAAGAAACTCAAACTAAAACCATGAGGTCTGCACCTTACCATTGACAGAATCTGTGGTTAGCTACTGGTATAATTTCGACTGAATCCAATCAATTGCTTACTAAAATTAACCCTTGTATATTTAGTTATCTTCTTCACCAGAGCTTTATGTTTAGAATTAGACCATAGTATTTTTCACTAATTTTCCTTTTCATACAATGCAGACAAAAAATGACAGATCATGCTGCTATGACTTTTGGCAGCAGTCATTTGCCCTTCTTTAATCTTTACTACATGATTACATTTTTGCCGACAGAGTTCATTCGAAGGGGGACGAATAATAAACAACTAAACTTTTTACATACTAATCCTGTCTCGAGATCAATGAATGTTTACTTCCTTGTGCATTTCTAGGACTAGTTCGTGTTGATAATTTGAATTAGTGGAAGAAGTGCAAACATGAATTACATACTGTTCTCTTACTATATTTTTTAAAATGAGAATTTTGATCACTAAGTTTCAATTAGACGATTAACCGTATTTAATTTCCCATTATTCTTTTTTTTTTTTTGGTAGAAAATTTCCCATTATTCTAAATATGGAGAAAAGGATTATTACATTTAAAGCAAAATAACACAAAAAGTTATATAATAATTTAAATGCCCCAGATTCCATTGCCTATGTAAGGAACCTTAATTAATTAGTTATGGCCTAATCATTTGCTTAAAGATGAGGGAAAGATAGGAGGATAGTAGTTGGGGGGAATATGGCAATTTCAAATGGAGTACAGATTTAAAGAGAAGCTTATAGAAGATCCATTTAGGACAAAGAGATAAAAAGGCATTTGGCCAAAATTGATGATGGTATTGTGATTAAGCACTGAACATTTAAAATCATGATTTCATGAAACAAAGCAACAAACTATTAAGACTCTAGAAAAGTATATGGAAATGATACCCAAATCATGAATGTACAAAATTTGGGAGATGTATTTCAGTTGTGTTTTTTCAATTATATTTTTTCGCAAATGAAGATAAATCATGATTCTTTATTCAAGAATAATGATAGGGGATTCAAATATACACGATCTGATCACTATTCTTTATAAATGATTTCTCCATTGATGGACATATGAAGTGCACTAAGAACTTTCTATCTAAAGTCAATATCTTTATTATTGAGCGACATGATTTCATGCACAACTATATCGGTATCCATATTTTTACCACCAAGACAAAAATCAATCATCCAAACCATTCTAAAATTCTTTCCAACCCCACAATCAATTCGGTTGGTGCTGTAGATTACCATTTTCTTTCTCCACCCAAAAAGTCTTATAGATCCATCAAAACTCTACCACCTTAGCCCCTTTACGTATTTGTTTTTTACCATTTTCAACCGAAATATTTCTATCATTGTGCTAATTAAAGGTCAAACAATCTTTGTGAAGTGTCAATGAAGCCACCAATGAGAAAGCAAAACGAAACAAGACTTATATACCATCATTCCTCCCTCATCGATCTTAACTAATTACTTGGTTGAATCTATGCATCTAGCTACTAGCTAGTTGGTGATTTCAGCACCAACAAATTATCCTCCTTCATTATCTATTTTCAATCATTTACCTTACATTATTACAAATATTCACAATACAAAATTGATTATTATGCATAAGACATCGAGTTTATTTTTACAACAAGGGGTCACGACTAGGAATAGCAACAGGCAGGTCCGGGGTGGGTATCTTGATACATATATCCATCTCGTGGGTCGTGACAGGTCAGTAATTTATCATAGGCCACGAATTAGGACAAGTCGACTCATATGTATATGTATTTAAAAGGAAAACATTATAAATATTTTGTTTTTCATATATAAAAAACTCAAAGAATAAATTATAGTATGATAAATGTAATTAAATTATTCTAGAAATGGAAGTTCTTAAATATGTATAACTTTATTATAGCTAAAATATGAGATAACAAAGGTAAAATTCTAAGTAATTTGAGTAAAATTACATGTAGCTTAAGTAAAAATGGGTCGAGAATAGGGTCGGGAGAAGAGCACACATGCCACCCCGCCAACAAAACCAAACAAATCGATCGAGTAAAACGAATCACGTAGAAATCATTATAACTAATCAACCACATATCTCTCAAGCTACATGATTGGAGCTAACATTGCCGACACCAAATATTTCAGCCAACACAATAAGAAAGACGTGTAAAACAAAAGAGCGCTGATTAAATAACAACTAACCTCTCTTTAGACAAATGTGATATCACCTTTGTACAAAATTAGAAAAAAGTTCCATCACACTAAACTGGAAATAACAGGACGACCTTGAATTGGCTTAGGTGGATCATGCATGGATGGCTCTCATCAACGAAAGTGATGTGGATTCATAATCCACAACAAATTGTAAGGTTACATCTATGTCATTTTCGTTATTGTTATGCGATTTAATTATTTTTCATGTAGATATATATTGTGAAGAGACGGTCTAATCACACTTTTAATTATTTTCAAGCAGATCGAATTTGGTGCCTAAAAAGAAGTTAGTAAAGAATTTGCTTTAGCTATACCTACGTAAGTTCTGGTTAATGTATGCTTGGAAAAACTGCTTATTTTGGTTAATCATCAGTCTAGTTTAACCTTTCTTAAATGCATAGTCTGTATATGTTTGCAGGTTATGTATAATCTACCTAATTACCCAAATTATATTTTCTCTATATACAAGGTTAACCAAACATCTCAAATTTCTTCATCTTCGTCATCAAATTAGGTATTTTACTCTATCTACAAGGTTAGCCTAACCTATGTACCACTTTGTGTATATAGAGTAGGTCACACAACTATCATTAGATGGTTTGTTTTCATGGTGCATGCTACCTAGTAAGAGATCAAACCGAAACTAAGTTGATATCAAGTTTTTTGTCACGATGATGTTTAAATTAATTGTAGGTTTCGTAAGACGTTCGCGTTCAATTTTAAATAGTTCTTGTCATCTTGTCTTTTGGCCTTCTCGATATAGTATGAGATACTGGGTTTATTAATTTGATGAATTCTCCATTTTCATTAATTCTAGTGATTTAGTTATATATATAGTTTTTTACTTGGCTATTTTTCGGGGGGTTTCTTGGCTAGTTGATTAGGAGTTGAGCTATAAAATTTAGATAAAATCAACATGAGTTGGTGTCGAGGTTAAACGGGGAAAATCAAATAGTCGACTTACAGCACATTTGGACAAATAAATACCAATTGAACCTATTTTTCAGATTTTTTAAATCAAAACAAAACTAATCTTAAATTTTGACGATCCAACTACACATGGGTAGAACCCTTTAAAAAAAAATGGCTCAAATATTTGCCCACTCCTAACCAAATTAGTGCTATTTATTGTAGATTTTGAAGGTTCATGGATCTCTTTCAACCTAATGACACTATTGTTGCCTAACCTACATATCCACACAACCACACATATATCAATGTATATGAGTAATTGGTTACACCACATTGCACCACAAAAGAAAGAAACCTCCAACACCAAAAAAATGCTAAAAGGTAAATTAAGATGAACCAATAGCCAATCAATTTTTTATAAAAGTACCCTTTATTTCCAAAATCCATTTCATTAAAATTTGTCAACCTCTTATTCTCATTTTTCCTAAGTATTAAACACCAAGTAATTAATTGCCCCAAACCCGAAAGATTTCCCATCTTTTGTCACCAATTCTCTTTATATATCTCTACATATATATTTTTCCCAAGAAACATAAAATTGAAAAAAAAAAGGAGGGATCGAGAAAGAGCGAAAATCGAACGAAGTCCCACTCCCATCCCATGTGCGCACCCAATCATGCCACGTGGCTGACGAGCGCGCGCACAGCCACCCAAAACGCCGCCGTCCCCGCCACCGACGGTCTCTGTTTAGTCTTTACATGACGACGCAGCCCGACGGATTGTCGTCGCTAAAGCACTCGCCTCTGCTGGCGTAGTACCCTCCTCCCCTGTATCCGCCGCCGCCGCCCCAGCTGTCGTACACAGGCCGGCCGTACCCTTCGTAGCACGGCGGCATGCTGTAGCACGACCCGTACCCTTCGTAGCACTCCCGGCAGCAGTAACGCATTGGGTTCGCCGACGGCGTCGGCATACCGATCGGAATCTGGTCGGTCTGCGGCGGAGGGCCCGGTTTCGGCTGCGGAGCTGGTTGAGGCTGTTTGGGTTTCTCCGGCTCGACGAAAGCCACCGTCTTGGGCGGCTTATCATTGCTATCCTTCGGCTTCTCAGGCGCCGGAGCTGGCTTCGCCGCCGGTGGAGGCCCCGCCGGCTTCTCCTTGGGTTTCTCTGCCTCCTTCGGCTTCTCCTTGGGCTTCTCTGCCTCCTTGGGCTTCTCCTTGGGGTTTTCCGGCTCTTTTGGCTTCGGCGGCGGCGGTTTGACGATCTCGATTCCCTTCACCGACTCGCCGCCTTTGCAGGCAATCTTGTCCATCACTTTCTCCGGGCTGCAGCACAGCACCGAGATAATCACCAGGTTGGCCTTATCGTCGTACACTTGATTCTGAATCTCTGTTTGTCAGCAAAAAGAAAATTCCGGGAAATCCAATCAGTGGCGATCTTAGTAAAAAAAAAAAAAATCTCAATTAAGAAGAGATCAAAATTGGAAACAATCAATCAAATCTTACGAGGGATCCTGCAGAGGACTTTCTTGATCTTCTTGCGGCACTTGTTGCAATCCAGATCGACCTTGATCACCATTGTCGTCAGCTGCAGGAGCAACAAGAAAAGACCATTAGCCAAAACAGGGGAAACCACTAGCCAAAACAGGGGAGAAAGCAGAGTATGATGGTGAGGGAGAGAGGATGTTTCTTACACACCTTTTGTTCTCCTCCCATGGCTGCCGGAGGGGAAAGGGAGTTGGGATTGAAGAGATAGGAAGAAGGAAGAGAGAGAGAGAGAGAGAGAGAGGAGTTAAAGGAAGGCACTTAAAATGCTGTGAGTCAAGGTTTGTTGGAGGATCTCATTCATATTGGGGGGAAATGGTTAGGGAAGGAGTATATATATGTACTAGCAAAGCAATGTATGGTGACGCCTACTTGGTTTGTACTATTGTATGATTGAAGGAGGTTGGGCAGTAGTTCTCCATGGTTAGAATGATTTCATGGTATATTTTTTCAGTATAAGAAAATGTAGCAGGATCTGCAGAATATTGACTATGGTAGGTGAATTTTGGAGTGTTAAAATAACATGTGTGATGAGATGATACGATTCAACTGATTGAAGCATGAAAGACCAGTACTTTTACAAATTATGTACCAGTATGAAGATTGGTAATGGTATGATACTATATAGAAAATCAATATGACGATGAGTAATTATTCTTACAAGTTGCAGCTAAACTTCATATTTAGACTTGAGGGTAATGAATGTTGTAATTTCACATGTTTGTTATAAACCAACTGGTTTCAATAACTCGGGTTGCTGAGAGAGGCACATGCATGGATCTTAACCACTTCCTTACACGGCCCCTCAAAATGAAAGTCAATTCATGAGCTTAACTTTGCCCAGACCCGTCATATCATGTGCTTGAAGACAACGAATATTATTAGAAGTCGTGAGAACTTGAACACGTGACCTCAATAACAAACCAACTCCAATACCATATCCTAAACTTACCGATCCCAATAGCTCAAAAAATTGGGAGAGTCCTATATACATGAATCTTATCCACTTTCTTACAAGTTGCAAGTCAATCCAAATGAACTCCATTGGCCTAGCATTTGATCTTTGATAAGCAAACAGTAGTTGACAAGTGTAAATGCATAGCTCTGAAATCCATGCAATTGAATGGGAACTCACTCGAGAGTTGGTTAAGAGAGCCTCTTAAGTTGTAAGAACTTGTCCTTACATGGGGGAGGGCTTTCTTTTATGGTTGCTGAGTGCCGACGCTTGTTTAGTGTTTTCCCCATTTCCATGTGCCACCCATTGATTGACCCATCTCACCTTCCTAACTACAATAAAGGCCTTCTTCTTCTTCTTCTTCTTCTTTGAGGAAACAGGGGAAGAACGCCTTCGAATTGATCAATTAATTAGGCTTATCATGTGATGAAATCAATACTAAAATGTAACGTGCTTGTTGGGAAAATACATGTAGAGTACGTACATTGCTTTGAATAAACTTGGACGTACGTATGCAGTAGACTTGAGATGGGATGTGGCAATTAGACAAAATGATTAGACATGCCAACCACACACTTGTCTTCATATCCCTAGTTCTGCCACTCGTGACTCAGCTATGTATCTTTTGTCAACTTGGAATAACTACAATACCAATTCCATTATTAATTAACGCCAATTTGTTAGCCCCATCGACTTATGAACTAGTGAAAATATAGTGCATGTAGAGGTTGAAGTTAGTAGAAGAAAGTTGTTTTATGCTCAAGAAGTTAACACACAACCATCGTTTTCCGACGAGACAAGTTGTTAATGATGGACATTCAAGTCTCCATCAGGCACGAGAGGAAGATTGTGGGAGGAGAGGAGAGAAAGCTTTAGAGCAATCAAAACCATGATAATAGAGGGGTTTTGATAGTGTGAGAGAGATAGGTAGGTTTCTTATCCCTTTTTATTTGGCTCGAATGAGGAATGGGGTGGTGCACATAACAATAACACAAATGCTTAACATACATTATTTCGTCATGTGTGGATTGTATTAGGAGAGAACAAACTAACTGAAACTCGATTCATTCGATCGATTATAGTACATCCGATCAATTCTTGTAGTTTAATTTACCACAAAAAACTTCAAAGTTTTTATTCATTCACCATCAAATTCAAGCATTCACCTACTACTAATATACCCAAAGACAAATGCGAAAGAAAGGAAGAAAATTAGCTCACCAAAGGGCTAGTACTTTCAAACTATGTGGGCTCTCCAGAAAGTCCCAATAAACTTTTTTGAAGGTAAGCAACTCAAGCAACCAACCTAGCTATGATTATTATTATTATTAGTATTTGTTTATTTTTAAGCCTCTTTAAGGTGAGGTCTAAGATAAGGTGGAAAAGCCACCTCATGTTCATGAATTGCCACATGGGTTTCCTTTGAGAATTTCAGGCCATTCAAAGATCTTTGTGAATCTCAATGATCAAAATGGAATATATAAAAACTTGATCACAATTTTGAAGAAATTTGACAACCAAAGCAAAATTGTATTCTGTTTCAGAGAGTTGCAATATGGGGACTGAACTCACCATTATAAATTCCCCCATAATCGATCTAAAAGTATATTCCTCAGATTATTTAGAGCCTAACCGAAATGAATAATTGGGGCACCCACATGATGATGTACCAAATGCTCTGTTTTCACACCACCATATATCAAGGAACACAACAAAGCGACCACACTAATCAATTATGAGGGGAATATACGTAAATTAGGTGTTTTATTATTAGTTTCTAATCATTTCTTCTAAATTTGATATCTTCACACCGCATATTTTAAGCAATACTTACACAACAGAAGTACTTCTGTTAGTATTTGTGACATCGTATCGTAACAATTAGTGCGGTAAATTTTGGTACGATTGCATCACGATTCTCTCATGGTTTTGTCATTGAATCCTAAACTGTTGGATCCACTTCACAACTTCTCTTTGTTCACTTCACCAAGTAACATCATCACAAGTGAATGGAGTTCCCATAGAAAGAAGCCAGCCCGTCACTGGCCCACTTAGTTCGTAAGAAGAAGGCTGGCCCATTTCTTCATATGTAATCCGTGGGACTGATGACTCGTCTACTTTGTCTGGATCGGACACAAGCCCCAAATAGGATGCCGGAAAGCCCATTGAATGAAAGCGAAAGCAGCGACCCAATTTCACGAATTTGTTATGTACAGAATAAGAATATTCCAGCTTCTTCTTCGTAAGCCGTTTTTCTTGTATCGTCGTGATGATTTTGTTCTTGGCCCACCAATCAAATGTGTCATTATTTGAATAATTGCGTAGGGTGATGTCATTATGATCGATCAATCCATGGCTTTTACTATACTACAATAGCTAGGCTTTTGTTTCATGGATTCGTATTGTCAACCTTTTCCATCCACAACAAACCCTAGCCTAGCTGGCTGGCCCTCCATCGCCATCATCCTCCTGTACACCTCATATTTCCCCATCTTCTTCTTCTCCTCACTCAAAGCTCTCCTTGATTTGCCTCTCGTGGTGGATATCGTCCAAGTTAACGACACTTTAGAAATTATCATAATTTTGAATGTGTGATCTAGGACCTATGTACAATCTACCAAAACAATTGTTGTTCTTACAAATTTGAGTAAGAATAGCATTAGCAACTTGCTAGACACGAACCATCCTCAAACTATACCAGTAAAAAAAGTACTAACATTTTTAGTTATTCACAATTTTAGAGATAAACACGTCAAAAGCAAAAAATAAAAATCAGTAATAACCGACTCGTCAGTAGCCCGCAAAATTGAATTGAGCTCTCATATAGACAAAAGAATGTGCAATGTCTCATCAAATATATTTGATGAAGGACCCACAATCAACCAAACAAGTGTTGTCCTTACAAATCTGAGCAAGAAGAATAGTACTTGCAACTTGCTAGACATGAAACACCCTCAAGCTACAAATCAACATGATCATGGTGAGGGAAAAGAATAGTTGATGAGATTTGTGTTTTCCCTCTTTGCAATTTCTTCCATGTTCTATCATGAGCTATGAAAGTTGACAAAAAAAAAAAAAAGAGAGAGAATAAAAACGATGGCCATACATCACAATGAGATATAGTCTCTATATATTGAGATTCCCTTTATCTTTTGTGTAGTTAGCTAGCTCCAAAACTTACTGAAATTTTACCTAAAAAGATGGCCGCAAAGCTTCAATCACGTACCTAGCTCCCACTAGCCCAAAAACTTCCATTTTCTCTCTTTGGGAGTTCCTGTCTTTTCCTCTTTCGTGTACGAGTGTCGCTGGGTGGCTTGAAAGTGAGTCCTCACTCCATTGTGAATATGGTTGGTGTATGCATACATGGTTTGCAAATTGCTCACGGTCCATTTCAATAGCCGATAAAAAGCATGGTTGTTCACACATTTGTATTGTCTAGTCGCGATCACTCATTGCTGAATATGTTGGGAAAATAACTGGTATTGTGTCTTATTTATTATCCGTATCGATCTATATTTCTTTTTCGGATTCAAAACCATCGAATCAGGCCTATGAAAATACTCAAGTTTCTTCTCGAGATGGGATACATAAACGACCCTTCATGCCGATATTTCTTTAATCCCGAGTCGAAGGACACAATCAGAACAAATCCATATTAAAGTACTTTGGGGTTCAAACTAAACTCTTTAGAGACCATTTGTGGAGTAAGGACAAAGTTAGAACTAGAAGAAGCATACTATTTTATTTTTAGCCACCGGGCCACGACAAAACCTAATTAGTAATTACAAGGGTGAATGTAAAATATTATTTGTTTTTACAGTGAGAAATGACACGTGTCGTGCAATGGATGGGGACTGCATTTGAGGAAGTGCTGATTCGGCGGTTTTCTAAAACTTGTTGGCACTTTGTTTTGTTTTCTTGTAGCAGGCCGGCGGTTTGGCCCCCTAATTTGGGGGTTTGGAATCTTTATGGGCTGTGTAGTTAGCTCAGCTCAGCTCCATCCATTATTGCAACAATCGAGGTGGTCAGCAATGATCCAAACCGGTCCAATTGGGGATAGGATATTGAGATTAGAGCTTGATAAGGAAGGGGGCGATGACTTAGATCCTTTGAATTAGATTTGAATGGATTGGGATGAGAGAAACATTTGATTTATATTGGAGACGGGGTGTTTTCCCCAATTCTCTAAATTGTTAAAAAAATCTAAAACAAACGAGAAAGAAATCAAATAAGATCGAGAATTTTATGTGTATATATTAGGATGAAAGTAACATTTGGTTCATCGTGAGAGGAGCGCTATTTTGGATTCTATATCATTCTAGCCAATAATACACTAGACCAGATCATATTTATATGAATTGAAGTTAAATTAGAAGTGCAAACAAATCTAACCCTATTTGTATGATTCATTAATAATCTGACCTGATTTCAATATTTTTTTTTTCAATGTAGAGACCTTGAGATAAGTTCTCAAAGACTTTCTCTCATCAACATTTTGTGATGAACTGACTTTTTGTGGGTGGTGATGAAGATAAGGAGGTACCTATTGCTGAATTTACTGATTATGACAAACAATGCTAGATCAGCCCAAGATAGATATATAGGAATGCATGCACCAATCAAAGGATTTGTAGAATTTCACAAAACAAATAGGATTTTATGAAACGATAATTAGCCTTTTCTATTATTGTCTTTTTTGCTTGAATAATTGATCAATCTCCACTAATTTCTCCACTCTCAATGATCAATCAAAGTGAAGTGATAATGGAGCGAGATCATAATTAAGATAGACAACCTTATCATGCAAAAGCTTGAACCATGAAAGTAAAGTTTGTGATTTGTGGAGCGCAACAAATATGTCCAATCCAATGCACAAGCAAAATCAAATCGCAATAATTTTGTTTTTGTGTTTTCCTTTTTGTCTATAGCTCTCTCTCAAGTCTCAACTAAATTGTGCCCATGTAAATGGAAGGGAAAACTAAAGCTAAACCTTATCGGCTTTATCTTTTATTTTATTTATCTCGAGTGTCACCCTTTTCCCTTTTATCATATTCAAGAAATGCTTTACATAAGTACAAGGGGGAAAAGAAGCTTTGTGTAGAGTATATTTTTACATTTGCCAATAAAGTTCGTGCTTTGAATTGCCAATTCAATGAATTCATACCCACATGCGACCTCGCCATGCAATTAGGGCTGGGCATGCGGGCGGATCATCCGCGGGTTTGGGCCGACCCACCCGCATTTGACCCGAATTTCGTTAAGCGGGTGGGTCTATGGGTGGGTGACGGGTTGCGCTGGGAGCCATCCGCCGGGTGGTGGGTGGGTTGTGGGTGGGTGCGCGGGTGACCCGCTCAACCCAACAGCAAAAAGATCAAAGTCGTCGGCGCTAGAGAGGGGAGAGTGGAGACGTTAGACATAAACTAGGACTGCTCCTGGAATTTGAACCTCAAAGCCAACCTTCCAAATAGCGATCCCCTCTTCTTCCCTTTATTCTTTCCTCTAGTTCTTGTGCCTAGATCACTGCTCTTTCCTCTGTGGAATTATTTTTCTTAGTTCCTTGCACTTGATAATCATCTCAATTTGTAGAAAACTCTTTCATAATAGAATTTCTATCCATTTTAAGAACTAATTCGACATTTTTCGCCCTATTTCATCTTCTTGTTTCCCCAGATAACTCTCTTCGCCTATTATCATGTCAAGTTGACTCCTTTATATTATATACATTGTGATGTGGGTGAACCCACAAACCCACCCAAATCATCCACCATCCGCCCGACCCAACCCGAGACTAAATGTGGGTGGGTGGTGGGTTAAAAATTATCAATCCGTTTACGTGTGGGTGGGTGCATTTTATGGTCAAAATCCACCCGACCCACCCAATGCCCACCCCTACATGCAATGCATGCACTACAATACTCTTATAGTCGTATGCATATATATACTTTAAAAAATATAATATAGGGAAAATATACAAGACACATCTATGCATTATAATAAGATACAAGCTTGTCTCAGTAATGAAGTCTGAAATTCGAGTGAGAGATGCACACTCCTTTTGTTTTTATATATGGTCAAAGATCAATATTGTACGAGTGATGCAATATTATCATTTGATCCTTGAATACTTTGTCCCATTTTCTTGTAATTAATTTACCCATAAATCTAGAAGTTTCTCCACCATGCACCAGCTGGTGATTACGTATCAAATTGGAATGATTTGAACGGATTCTGTTGTTGAAACGGAATCTAGTTAGCTTAGCTACTTACGTGTGGTAAAAATAATAACATGTATGAGAACTAGATGGACACATATCACGCTTTTGTTGGCATCACCAGAAAGGAAAAAAATAATGGGCCGACCTATACTTATGTACGTAGTTGCACCCACTTAATGTTAAGAAGTAAAGACCATGTAATTTGGAGGGGAAGAAGCTATATCGACGAGGCTTATCAATCGAATTCTCTAGAAACGAGTATAATAGCGTTTAATGTCGCACTAGTGCGTGTATAGTATGTATAGATGAACATCATTTACCTTGCTCTCGTGAAACATTTAACCTTGACGGTTTGAATATCTCATGCCTAATAGGCTGGACACGTACATAAAACAAGGCTAGATGTCCGACTTGGAGATGTGTACTCTTCATGACTCTAAATGTAGTTCGATGGAGCAATTCTTTTCCACCGAAAAGAATATTGTGAACTTGTATAGATCGTATGTTGTGTGCTAGACTACATAAATCATGTGTCTGATTAGTTTCTTTTCTTTTCTATCTACTATCTCTTCATAAAGCTATATATCATCCTTTCAAAAAAAAAAAAAAAAAAAAAAAAAAACTATATATCACGGCTATCAAACGGCTCACCCCAACAAAATTAAAGTGCACTGTGGTACGTAGTAGTAGATGAATGAAACATGTGGGTGCCTGAAATTAGGGCAAAATTACGATCAAAAGAACACATGGTTGGTGCATATATATGAAATGGTCCACGATTGAAACATGGACCTCCAATACACCATATACTTGGTACGTGGAGTAGTAGAAGCCTAGAAGGTGATTTAGTAGGAAATGGAAGGGCAAATTTTTACTTACTAGATGATGAGTCAGCAAAAGGACATTTGTCCCACTCCTCCATTTACACCCACCAAAAATCAAACAAGGCAATCCACGTCAGATACTACACCATCCCCATAAATAAATAAATAAAATCCTCCCCTCTCCTCCCCTTCACCACAATAGAGACCCAGAGGGAGAAAGAGAGAGAGGAAGGAAGGCAACAGTTTGGCCATTGTTGGAGCTCTGCTTTGTTCTCTGAAATCATCACAGAAATAATGGGTGAAGTGAGTTTTTTTTTCTTCTCTCTTAATCATCACCATATTATCATCAACCCTTCTTTTCCACCTTTGTTTCTTCTCTTTATGGATACATGAGCTTTCGTCCTTGCTTACCATTTGCGGTGGTGTTTTTGGTGTAGGAAAAGAAGGAGGAAGAGAAGAAAGGAGAAGAGGAAGGGAAGAAGAAGGAAGAGGAGAAGAAGAAAGATGGAGGAGGAGAAGAGAAGAAAGAAGAGGAACCACCTCAGCCTCCACCTGAGATTGTGCTCAAAGTCTATATGCATTGTGAAGCTTGTGCTAGGAAGGTCGCTAGAGCCCTCAAAGGCTTTCAAGGTTTCATCTCTCCCTCACATCATAAACTTTTCTCAAACTTTGCAAAATTCCCTTTTCGTACTAATCAGAATAAAACCAGTTGATCCGTATAATCCGAGTTCGTATACACGATGTATTCCGGGTTTGGAACTCCATTCAAGGTCTCTTCAAAAGGATGGTGGAAATTTTGAAATGTGCCCTTTGGTCATTTGGAATAAGAACACTAACACCCATGTTTTTTAATTGATTAATACATATGAAAAGTTGTTTCATTTCCAAGTCAAAAAGTGGCTACTACTATACATTACACACTCCTAGTCCTACTACTGCTCCCCATGAAAGGGGAGATACAATAATATTATTAATAATTCAATTCTCCTCTTTTTCAATTATTTTTTATACTTCATTTGAATTTCAAAATTGAATAATTAAATATTGTTTTTTATATATTTTTTTTGTTGGGTTGTAGGAGTGGAGGAAGTGAGCGCAGATAGCAAGACAAGCAGAGTGGTGGTGAAAGGGAAAACAGCAGACCCATTGAAGGTGTGGGAAAGGCTTCAGAAGAAGAGTGGGAGGAAAGTTGAGTTAATCTCTCCTTTGCCTAAACCACCTGAGGAAAAACCCAAAGAGGAAGAAGAACCTCCCAAAGAAGATCCACCCAAAGAACCCGAGAAAAAGGATGAGGTAAATTATGATTCAATCAATAACGAATTATTCGTAATTTTGACGTTACTGGATTGTGTATGATTGTTTAGAAATGTAAGAAATTAAATTCGGGTTGGTTGGTTTGTGTTTATAAGAATTTAGTGTCTTCATAAGGTTGAAAGATATTGATTAATCATTACACACACCCAACTTTTTTTTTTTTTACTCAATTCACTATTAGCCATTAGGTAGTCAAAAGAACACATGATGATGCCATATACCAAACAAGCCCTACCAGGCTCACCAATTAGTCAAGTACTAACTCAACATTTGTCTGTGTTTCTGTTCTAGCTCTCTCTTCACTTCCATTTCTGATCACCACCGTTAAAAAGTAGGTGTAAATGTTTGCCAATTTTACATGTTTTGAATTTCATTGTTTTCATGTTAAAGAGATCAATGTATATATGGGTAGTAGTTGTGTGTATCCTTATGATGATAGGTGAGCAGAAAATGGCAGGCTGGAAGGGTAGGGTAGCTGCCCTTATTAAATTGAGAGAAGGGGACAAGATCATAGTGCAAGTCAATTTGGGGGAAAGATAGGGTTGGAGTGATTTTTCAAAGATTTGGAACTTAAGGAAGGTAGTTAGATAGATCATTCTAGAGAGTAGAGATCCAAGTTTTTTACTTGGGCACCTCTAGCTAGCATGTGTCCGTTCAACGCGAAATGATAACGTTAGATCACCTTACAACTGATCTCAACCCTTCATAACTTGTGCAGATGTCGTTATCTATTAGGTGTTGATCTATTAGTAACGAAACAATAAACATCAAATTCGTCTTGGATTCGAATCTCGAAATCGACATAAGGCTACATAGATGGAAACAAAGTTGAAAGTTGAAAGCATTGAGACCCACCTTTGGTGAAATTTGAGGGTGATGGATGGTGGTAGGAGAGTGGTGTTTGTGTGGTGGTGGTGGGTGGGTGTTTCAAGGCTGACAATGAAAGTAACAAAACAAGCTATGTGGGGGAAAATATTGGGGAAGGGAAGGGAAGGGCACCTTTCTCAATAAAAACCCAGTAACCCACCCACTATTTTTAGGGCCTTTCGACCCCACAAAAGGGACACTCTTTTAAAGCATTTTTTCTTCCCACCTCTCCTTCCCCAACCCCATCAACTTGCCTCCTTTTCACTGTAGTGAAAATATTTTGTTCTTTTTCATACATAATAAGGTTATTATTATAGCAGTAGTGAATTAGCTCTCTGTTGCTGCTGCTGTTTGCTTGGGGACTGGTGGTTTCTGGCTTTCTGCTACAATTATACAGTCCATTATTGTTCATCCCTTGTTTTTCAACTTTTCACCCATTTTAGCAAAAAATTTATCCTCTTCATTATGCATTTGGTGCACTTTTCGATGTATATACAATCAAAGCAAGTTAAAGACGAGATTTTGAAAGAGTGCGAATTCGAGTTCTCGCGTTGTGTTGATCTAATGACTAATCTTTCTCTTGTTTTTGGTTCTGATTGTTTGCTTGCATGCAGCCTCCCCCAGTAATAACAGTTGTGCTGAACATAAGGATGCATTGTGAAGCTTGTGCTCTAGGCTTGCAAAAGAGAATCCGGAAGATATCAGGTACATTCATAATCTCTCGTTTTGACGAACAAAAATAAAATGCGGTGAGCGTGGATCGAACACGCGACCTTCAGATCTTCAGTCTGACGCTCTCCCAACTGAGCTATCCCCGCAATGTTCATGTTGTTAACAATTTGAATTAATGGCTATTACAACATCACATTTCTGTTTTTTATTAACCTGGACAGGAGTGGAATCAGTGGAGACAGACATAGTAAACGGGACAGTGACAGTGAAAGGGGTGGTGGAGCCAGGGAAGCTGGCAGAGGATGTGTACAAGAAGACCAGAAAACAGGTTTCCATAGTAATCAAGGAGGAAGAGAAGAAGGAAGCAGAAGAGAAGAAAGAAAAGGAGGATGACAAAAAGAAGGAAGATGAAGAGAAGAAGACAACAGAAGGTGAGCAGCAGCAGAAAGAAGAAGAAGGGAAGTCCTTAACGGAGGAGGAAATGTTGAAGAGTGGGATCAAGAGAAGTGAGTACTGGCCATCAAGGAATTACAGCATGGAGTACTATTCTTACCCTCCTCCCCAAATCTTCAGTGATGAGAACCCTAATGCTTGCTCTCTTATGTGATTTTTAGATGTCTAATATGGTGGATATGGTGGTTATAAGATGTTAAACTGCAAGAGTACTTCTTTGTGGGAGGGTTTGGTGTTTTTTCCTTCTCTTAGTTGAGTTTTAATTTTGTACAATCATCTTATGTATAATGGGTTTTGTAATAAGACATGGAGTCATATGGAGGGTTACAGGATGTATGTCTGAAATGGATCAAACAGTTACTCTTTGTTTGTATATTGTTAGCACCCTAACTTTCTTTTACATTGTTAGCACCCTAACCTGCGTCTATATTTATGAGATGAGATTTAGATACCTCTAATTCGTCATAATCCATCAAATATCTAAGGTTTGGATATTTACAATTAAAATTATGAATATCAAAAGGGAAAGAGTGTCTATCTATTAGCAAGTCATAAGCATTATGTTTTTGTATCTCCACATATATATCTCGATTTCTATTACTGAGTCTCCTCATTTGAGTGATAAAAAATATCAGTTCGCGATTGAAAAACATCTCTCAAGATATCATGATGACAATTGGTGTTTAATCAATTTATGATTCAAGTTGTGTATAATCTCCAATCTTTTGGCCGCAATCTATGGCAATTTGTAGATTTTATGCCTTCATTTATTTTCCATTTCCATTATGTACATTCAAAATTCGACTCAAATTAGTACTCCTAAAGTGTACTTAATGTACTTTTATTTCTGACAAAATCATGTCTTACCTATGCAAAAAGAATCCATTTTTCTCCCTATCTAACTTGGTTAGTTCTCAAGCGACATGGTGTTCCATTTTTTCTGTTTGATGTCCCAAGTTCATGGTGGGCTCAGTCCAAGAAGACTTGATCGGATGGATTGGCAGCGTGGGCGAAATAAAAAGCCCATTACTTTTAGTCGTCATTTCCAGGTAGTGCAACCCAAAGTTTTCTGAGGGAAATTTCCATGCACAAAGTTTGTATTTTTTTTGGTGTCATGCAGTTTCACCTTCTCATGCTTATCTGTGAACGGGTTCTTGCTCCTACTTTCTGTTGATAATTTCATCTCCTGCATGAGCCATCGCCATAAATTCATATGATTCATGATATTCATTAATAGCGAACGAAGAGAAAAGTAGCGTGTAAGAGAAAAAATAAACAATATGCTTTAGGATAATTATTTGTAGTTATAGAAAGAGGAGTATTCATTTAAAAAAAAAAAAAAGAAATTTGTCAGATCAATTACTTGTCAATGTATTGTGCTCAAAATGTTTTTTTTTTACCTTTATGCAAAAAGAGTGTTCTCCATATAACTACTCTAATTTTTTGAAGTGTTTAAAATAACGTTTATAAGAGTATGGAAAAAATCTCAATAATGCAGGTTGTGGGGTTCAAAGCCACACACACTTACGTGTAGAAGATATTAAGTCTTCTTCCTTAACCTCTCGGGCAAACCTGTAATTCATTGATAAATTTGAAGAATTTACTATAAACATCAATAAATTTAGTTGTTAAAGTATATTAAAATTGTCATTTATGTTATGATATGTAATCAAATTTCGATTTAAATCACAAGTAAGTAGCTTTGACCTAGTGGTTAAGGTGTGTATCTGCTAAGTACACAAAGTTTTCCGTGAGAATTCAAATATCTAATGTAAGGGTTTAAATTATATTTAGTTTTGTTACCTTATCTAAAAGAAATTCCATCAATTTTCATAGAAGGTTCACGGCTTATATCACATTAAAGTTTTGGTTTATGCTTATGTGTTGGTTTTTGAATTGTTATGTGGCAGACACAATGAATCTTGTGTAGAATTCCTTTTAGAACAGGAAAAAAATTAGTTAAAATTAAAATAATTAAAAATCGTCGCCTGAGAGATTCGAACTCTCGCGGGAAAATCCCATGTACTTAGCAGGCACACGCCTTAACCACTCGGCCAAAGCGACTTATTGTTGATTTGGTTATGAATTCGAATACACATCAAAGTAGAAATGACAATATGCTATACTAAAACAACTAAACTTACCAATGTTTCTACTACATTCTCACACGTCATTATTGAATTACAGATTTATCCGAGAGGTTAAGGTGGAAGACTTAAGATCTTCTACAATGATTGGCATGGATTTGAATTCCATCGTCTGCAGTAGCGCGATCTTCGTATATTTTCAAAATTTTAAACTCTATTTAGACACTTTATATAATTAAAAAGAGTTTTGAGACAAGTCTTCATGCTTAAGGTTTTTAGACAAGTCTTCCTTTGGGTCATGTTTAAGGTTTGTATTTCATCTTCTGAATGAATTTTATGGAACCATATTGTTAAGTACTAGCAACTAACGGTGTTGTGAAATGTAAATTTTGATGGGTTTGGTACTTTCCCAAGTATGATGAGGTGAAAGGTGGTTTCGAGGGTTCATTTGTTGATGTTGATACTAGTTGATGTGAGATTCAGTAGCCATCGGAAATTTTCTTCCATTCACACTCACCAAGTCTAGTGTGGGAAGTTTCATTGTCAAAGAACTAAATCTTCTAAGTAGTGTGTGATTACCCTACAAATTAAAGCAAACACGCCACGCTTAATCAAATATAAGGAAAAAGGTTTCTCTTCGTGATTGATCTATTACTATCAACTTATATTTGATTTACAACACAGAAATTCAATAAAGAATGAATTGTTGCTCATCAATAATATACATTCATTACAACAACGACGCGTGTATAGCACATGAATTGTGATATTTACCAAGTTTGAGTGGTACATACATGTGCCAAGAGAATATTGTACCCATTTGTAGCTAGCATAAAAGATCTATCATCAAACCCTTATGATGATTTTCTTCGTTTTATTCGAGTATATATATAACTAAAGGACCACAAGAACACTAGTATAGTAGTGGGGATTGTGACACTAGCTAGGATTATAACATGTGGAAAAAGAAGGGGAAAACATTACAGATTCATTGCTTATAATTTTGCAATATTAAGGTGATAAATGATAGTAGCTATAGTTTTTAAAAGAAAAAAAATTGTGACAACTATAATTAACGGATTAGTTTGAGCAATCTTTTTAATAGATTTTCATAATATTCAATAAAATGCAGGTTTGCCCGAGAGGTTAAGGGGGAAGACTTAAGATCTTCTGCACATAAATGCGCGTGGGTTCGAACCCCACAGCCTGCAATTTTATTTTTTGATGGAATTTTCAGAAAATTCTATGTTAGCTCTCTACACATATATATGAAACTTATTGTATTTATACTCCGATCCTTTTTTTAGCATCAATCCCTACGGGAAAGGTCCACAAAAGAAACATTTGCAAGCCACCTACATTTGCAAAGAGATACAAGAGTTTTTTGATACTACACCTCGAAATAAACTCGAAATCAATCATAGACACGCAAATTTCTTAACCTAATTCCCACTCGCCTCATAAGAAAACATCATTGTGTCATCTTATTGTAACAGTACCCAATAAAACCTGGTAAACTAGCTTTGTGATCTCACTTATTATTGGACGGACATCTCTTGTGAGTTATGAGATGACACTAATTACAGTGAACCAACTACTTATCCCAAAACCCACAATTTGTCCCCCTGAAAATGTAAGCTACTCTTCATTCACCTCAATGAAATACCATTGTGTCATCTAATCCCTAGTACATTACTTTCTACCAATACAAGATATATATATCAAGATCCCCCCTCCAAAGAAAATTCTCCACCATTAACCGTGGGCATTTCTTTCTACCTCTTTAAACACAAATAAAATCCAACCTCAATATATTCCTTTTGCAAGTTACTGGACAAAAATGTGAGTGTAGCTAGCTAGTTGCAATTGGTTAGTGCATGATCCTCAGCTAGAAAAAGGGGTCCATTGAATTGAATTGAATTGAAGCACACTCTCGATGGTCAGAAACTCTCTGTCTAATTGCATCCTATCTTCTTCCTTCGTTTATCTGCCCCCACAGCTTTTAGAACAGGGAATCAAATGCAGGTCAACAAGATTTATCATTACCATACTTGTTCGCAGCTTCCAAAGATTTTACACACTCATTTCCGATTCACAAAGCTGTCATCTTCTCAATTAATAGAAGAATCTATCCTCGTTCAATTCAGGAAAAACTAACTTACTGCTCTACTAGTAGTTAACTTATAATAATAAATTTTACCCGCATCTCGATTTAAATCATAGTCATTGATTACTCGATCTGCATGACCAAAAGCACCTTACAATTTTCTTATGCAATAATATAGCTAATTGGAGGGTTTATACCAATTTTTTTTTATCATCGATCTTGTTGAACTAAAACAACTTATATTCTTACTTTTTGACGAAAATGAGTGACAAAAATTCAGGCATAATCTACATACCAATATAGTGGACCAAAACAAAGTAATAATGCCAAGTTATGTATCTATCTCTCTATGTGCTTAGCTTATCCAAATTTGCGCAAGTGCGTGCACTTTTGTAAGTTTCAAGCAATTCAAACAGGAACGAACTAGCTATAATGCACGACGGCCAACTGAAATTCCCGGCGCCGCCGGCGTGAGAAGATGATGATTTAACCACCACCAGCCGCCGCGGCCTCGCCTCCTTTCCATTATCGACCTTCTTTACATCCACCAATGATGTCCACTTTTTGGGTTTTTTGCTTTCTCTTAATTAGTATTAGCATTAACATTAGGATCTAGCTAGGTGCATGTCATGCCCATCTTGGCTAAATAAGTTTATAATATTTTTTTTTGATGAAGTTTATAAATAAGTTTATAATATTGGATTAAGGCCCATACTTTATCAAAAGAGCAGTTGCTTTGGTTGATCTTCGTGACGAAACATCCCTTTGATTTGCTTTATTATTGATTAATGAAGAGTAACCATGCATGTATGATAGTGCTTAATTATTCACTAAACATAATTGTCTTCTAATTGAACATGACGATATATTCGAGGAGAAGACTAGAAAGAAGAAAAAGAAAGAAAAGCTATGAGAATTTTTCTGAAAAGGAAATTAGAGATTGGCGCGTTCTTTTCAAAATAAAATAAAAATTTGTGATTATCGTCAATGATCAATCTTGATTATAAAAACAAGCTCTTTATGAGTGAACACGGACTTGGTACAATGATAATACTCATAGTCTTGAAATTGAGAGTTTCAAAATCGAATCTCTTAAATATCAGCTAAATAAAGACAAACCTATATCATTTGTATAAAAAGAAAATCTCCTTATGAAAGAAAAAAATATAATTTAGAGCCTAAGCAGGAAGCCCGATAGTAAAAGTGGCAATAGCACTTTCTAAGGCAACGGGTCTTTCATCTTTCCTTTTTGCCTAT